TCAAAAACATAAATATAGACTCTTATGCCATATACAAAAATTAAAATAAATCAAAAATCTAAATATAAGAACTAAAATTATAAAATCTAAAACATAGGGTAAAATCTATATGACATTAGATTGCGTGATGATTTATTGAATAAATGCCAAATGCACAGGCAACAAAAGAAAAACACAGAAAAAATGGACTTCATCAAAATTAAAAACTTCTGTGCATCAAAGGCCCTCATCCAGAGAGTGAAATGACAACCCAAAGAATGGAAATTATTGAAAATCATATATCTGATGAGGGATTACTATCTAGAATATAGAAAGAACTCCTACCACTACACAACAACAAAACGCTCACAACCCACCCAATACAAAAAAAGGGCCAAGAACTGGAATAGACATTTCTCCAAAGATATACGAATGGCCAATTACCATATGAAAAGATGCTTAATATCACTAATACAAATTAAAACCACAATGAGATACGGTCTCATACACATTAGGATGACTAGAGTAAAAAAAAAAAAATGGAAAATAACAAGTGTTGACAAGGAAGTAGAAAATTTTACCCTTGTGCACTGCTGGTAGGAATGTAAACCGGCACAGCCACTGCGGAAAACAGTACAGAATTATCATCTGATCCAGCGGTTCCACTCCTAGGTATGTACCCAAGAGAACAAAAGCAGGGACTCAAACAAATACTTGTACATCGATGTCTTTAGCAGCACTATTCACAATAGCCAAAGGGTGGAAACAATGCAGATGTCCATCAGCAGAAGATGCAATGGAACATTATGCAGCTTGAAAGACGGACTCAATTCTGACACATGCCACAACATGGATGACCTTTGAGAACATTATGCTAAGTGAAACAAGCCAGTCACGAAAGGACAATTCTTGTGTGAGTCCCGCTGTATGAGGTAAAGCCACAGAGACAGAAAATCGACTGAAGGCTGCCAGCAGCAGGGGACAGGGAGTGAGGAGTTGCTTTCAATGGGCACAGAACTTGTGTGTGGAGTGATGATAGGTTTTGGAAATGGATAGTGGTGATGGCTGTACAACACTGTGAATGTATTCAATATTTATTGCCACTGAATTGTACACTTAAAAGTGATTAAAATGGCCCTGGCCAGTTTGGCTCAGAGGTAAGAGCGTCGGCCCGCAGTCCGGAGAGACCCAGGTTCGGTTCCCGCTAAGGGCACGTACCTCGGTTGCAGTTTGTTCCCGGCCCCGGTTGGGGTTGTGTGGGAGGCGGCCACTCGAGGTGTCCCTTTCACGTCGATGTTTCTCTCTCTCGCTTCTCTCTTCCTCTCTCTCCCTCCCACTCTATCTGAACAAAAATGGAAAAATGTCCTCAAGTGAGGATAAAAATAAAAGTGATTGAAATGGTAAATTTTATGTTACATATATTTTACCACAATTTTTAAAAATTGCAAAAACTGCCCGGCCGGTGTGGCTCAGTGGTTGAGCATCGACCCATGCACCAAGAGATCGCCAGTTTGATTCCTGGTCAGAACACATGCCCAGGTTGTGGGCCAAATCCCCAGTGGGGGGCATGCAGGAGGCGGCTAATCGATGTTCTCTCTCATTGGTGTTTCTCTCTCTCTCTAAAATCAATAAAGAAAAACCTTTTTAAATTGCAAAAACACAATTTGGGTTATTACTAAGTGATTCAAATAGAATATGAGAAAAGCATAAAGAAATTCAGGATCGTAGTTACCTCTGGATAGGGAGGTGTACCCAGGTGTTTTCACTTGCACCTGCCATGGTTTAGTTCCCAATTTAGGTGACAACACAAGTACGTTTGTTGTAGAGTTTTACGAGGGTCTGAAATAAGTGATGACAATTATAGTGGAAAAGACTGGGAAGCAGCGTGGGCAGCTTCACCAGGGGTACTGAGCCTACTACACAGAAGTGAAGACTGACCCCTTCTCGGTGGGGTGGCACCAGGTCATTTACTCCCCTTGGCCCCAATCATCCCCAAACCCCACCTCTTATCACAGCTCTTCCTCCATCAGGCCCCTCCGGCATGCCCCAATGTGGAAGGGTCCTTCATTCTCAAAGATCTGGGTCTGGCCTTGGGCTAGGCACAGATCTCTCTAGCCCTTGGGCAGGGGTGGGCTAGACTGGGGCATTTCTGTCTGGCCCCCACACCTGCAGAGAAGACATTTTCTCAGGCATCTTCGCCATCCCCCAGGAATCCTCAGCCTAGGGTTTGCTGACTAATGGAGACAGGACAGCCCACTCTCAGTTCCCCTTCTTTGGGGTGCAGGTGGCCCAGCTCTCCACCCCCTCCACGGCCACGGGTGGGGTAAGCTGCCCTCTTCGCCAGCAATCCTGATGCCCAGGCCCAGGGGAGGCTGTAGCCCCAGAGCAACATTTCCTTGTCCCTGAGACCACCAGAGGGGGCTGTCTCCCCAGCCTCACAGAAGCCAGGCCTTGGGCTGGGGGGAACTGAGGAGTCACTCAGGTCCTGGCACACTGGGCCCACAGTGTTGGAGGTGGCAGGATTTATACATCACTGGGTACATCACTGATTAAGGTGGGGGGACTATAGGGGGGTGCTGCAACCCACAGGAAACTCCTTGGGGACAGGGACCCCTCAGCCCTTAGCACAGCGGTCCCTCAGGCTCCCAGACTGGGTGGATGGACAGACTGACCAACGATGGGGGTGGAGAAGGGGGTTGGCAGGAGTCACAGGAAAACAGCCCTTTCTGTTTTCCTGGGCTGCCTGGGCAGGGGAGGAGCTCCCTGGCATTGGTGGTGTGGAAAGTGAGGGGTAGGGTGGGTAGGAGGTATGGACCAGAGAAAGACAGCATAGTGTGTGTGTGTGTGTGTGTGTGAGAGAGAGAGAGTGTGTGTGTGAGAGAGAGAGTGTGTGTGTGTGTGTGTGTGTGTGAGAGAGAGTGTGTGAGTGTGTGTGTAAAATGGGGGAGTCCTACCATGGGTGGGAGCTGAAATAAGTGGGGTGGCATCCAAGGTTTCCTTTTGACTCTAGGTACCTGTACCCCTCACCCACCCTATTTCCTGGGACCAGCCTTGGCTCTGTCTCTCCACTTCTGTGGCTCTGAGCAGGTGAGGAAGGGGCTTAGCCAGTCACCGTGCAGGGGGTCGAGAAGACTCCCTGTGCCCTGCCTCCTGCCTCCCAGTCAAGAGAAGACCCTCATGCCACACTCGTCGTCCCAGGCACAGGGCCGCTCCACCTTCCATCTGGCTGGTCGCCTGGAGCTGGGCACTGTCCCTGTGGCACGTCTGTCTGTGAAGTAGGCTCTGGCCAATGGAAGGCCGACACCCTCCATGCCAGCGGTGAGCACAGCAGACTGAGTCGGGTGCAGAGCTGACATTAAGTGAGGAGTAACGAATGTAGGGGCCACCACGCCCTACTGACTACTGCCAGAGGCTCTCATCACCACAGTACTTTGTAGCAACTAACGATTCTCACTTAAAATTCTCAAACAGTAGGTGAAGATTTGTATTGAATAATTTGCCAAATTCCACGGTCAGAATTTCTTGTATGACGAGACATATTTCCACGTAGTTCTGAGCTTGTGACCAATTTGCACAAGTCTGATCATCCTGGTGGCCTCAAACGGCAAAAGAATTGGGACCAGGATACAATGCTTCCCACCACCTCAGGAGCACCTGTACTGTGTCCCAAGTACCAGAGCCACACAGCTGGGGGACTGACAGAACCTGCTACAGCCACCCTCGGAACAGGGCTCTCCGCAACTTCTTGGCATGCACACGTGCACGCCCACACACGAGTCTGTCTGCGCGCGTGTCTCCTCTTTAGCTTTTGGCTAGTGCCGTGCACTGGGCGGGGCTTAGTTCCTTTGAGCGGCTGAAGCCCTGGCTTTTGTTGGTCATCCAAGATGAGAGGACAGAGCCCTGGATTGGGGTGGGGCAGTCTCAGCCAGCCCTGCTTCCGCTTGGAGAGGCTCAGCCAGGGGGGCCGGTGATGGGGATCTGCTTGGGGCACAGCGGGGAGCATGCGAACATTTCCCGAAGACAAAGGGTGCCTCAGGATGTTAAAGGTGCAGCACTTTGTCTCAGGGATCCCACATCTAGGAATTTAACCAAAAGAGAGCACTACACAACTGTGGCAAACAAGCACAGCGTCTGTCCTGGGTCCTTCCTGCTGGCAGATGACGATGAAAACCTGTCTGCCAGCGGGTCTGGCGCCATCGAAAATGGGACCATCCACAGAAAGGACTCTCTTAGCACACAAAGCTCAGCTTCTCATGAGCACCAAGGCACTTTGTGCCCCGAGGCTAGCACCATCCCTCTAGGAACTTGGCCTTCGCACCTGTCCCTGTACCTATGGGCCAGGCACAGTGTGGGACAGAGAGATCAACAGAAGCCCAGTGGTCTAGTGGCCATGAGTTACCAAGATTTCTGTCTGGCAGGGCTTGTCCAGAGTTGCAACCGTGTCTGTTCACCTAGACTCGGCTGGGGGCGCTCACAGGTCGCAGGGCAGGCACCCAGCAGGCCCTCAATAAATGCTTGTTCTGTAGCTGGTATGTAAGAATACATTGCTCACTTCAGGAGAGGGGGCAGACAAGGAAACCAAGGCACAGAAGGGCGGTGAGTTCTCTTAAAAGTCCAGCCAGTGTGGCTCAGTGGTTGAGCATCGACCCATGCACCAAGAGGTCGCCGGTTCGATTCCCAGTCAGGGCACATGCCCATGTTGTGGGCTTGATCCCCAGTGGGGGGCATGCAGGAGGCGGCCAATTGATGTTCTTTCTCATTGATGTTTCTGTCTCTCTCTCCCTCTCACTTCCTCTCTCTCTAAAAGAAAAAAACAATAAAGGAAAAGAAAAAAAATTTTTTAAAGGGGTGGGGCCAGAACTGTTGAATCTGCCCACTTCTGTCCACCCCATGGACTCCAGCCTTGATCAGGCTCCATCCTCTCGGGCATCACCTCTTGCTGGGATCGTTCAGTGGCATCTTAGCAGTGTCCTTGCTATCATGACCCCTTCCCATGTCACCCCACAGTCTGCTCTCCTTACCGCAGCTGAGTGGTCTCAGGATGAAGGGGCGCCCAGTACCAGTGGAGGATCAGCTTGGAACTCACCAAAGTAACTTCACACACGGGACACAGTTAACGAAACAAACAACCTCTCCTTCAAGTTGAGACAGGTCTGAGTGGGAGAATGCCGATGAAATACCCTTGCCAAAAATTCAAACCTGAATCTGCTCACACCCTGGGGCCCATCACCAGGATCCAGGTACAGGAAACCCCACTCATTTCCTGGACAACGAATGTAAGTGAGACGTAAACAAGACAGACAGAGATGGGGGCAGTCTATGGATTATGAGAGAATCGTGTGCATCTTATTTAGATTCTGGGAATTTGAGGCTGTTAAGAAATCATTGCTTGTTTATCAGATGTGACAAACATCCTGTGGTTATGTTGTTTAAAACGACTCTTTCAGAAACACATGCTGAAAAACTGAAACAAAATAAAGGCTATTTAGAATTTGGTTTAAAATAACCCCAGGGATTGGGGTGGGCAGGCAGACAAAACAGGATCGCCCATGAAGTGATAAGAATACAGAATTCGATAATCTCTTCTGGCTAATTTTGTATATGTTTCAAATTTTCCACAACACAAAGGGTTTTTGTCTGTTTTAAATCTCAGCAACGGAGGGAGGGAAAGAAACCACGGCAGGAGAAGCTCCTAGGCGGAGAGCCAGACGGGGCTTGAGGGATTTCCCCCGCTTCCACAGAAGTCTGGGGCGTTCTGCAAGTGCTTGCGACCAGTTTCCTCTTTTAGCTACACTTCCCACCAGTTTTCAAAGTATCCATTGGAAAGCACCCACCTTGCACCCAGAGGGCTCAGGATAGGGGGGTCTGCGGCCAGGGCAGCCCACGTGCTCCTCTCGATTGCCTGAGAAGGATTACGGAATCGAAAGTCAGAGTTTAGAAATTTGCAGCAACTTGACACAGTGATTTTACGTCTATTGAATCTCATACTAAGATAATGGGCTTGAATTTTATGTGTCTATGTTTACATTGTAACAACTTTTACTAAATTTTTTCATCGGCCTGTGAGAGATTAAAATGTGAACACCAAACAAATAACTCGGTCCTTCACCACAGAGAGTCTGGGAAGCACTGCACGGACTGGACATGAATCTCCGGAAGACCCGCACCCACCGCCTGGGTGTCCTGCTGCAGACCCCAGGTCAGATCCCCCTTCCCACGGTCTGCGGCTCGGCCTGCAGCACAGCCTATAACACGGATGACTGGACGCTGCAGAGCCCACCCGAGTTTCTTCTGGGAGCTGCTGAGTGTGCAGTGTGCCCACTTTCGTTTATAAATCACTGACACAGCAGCGAGATGGTTTAGCCAGCTCACTTCCACATGCTCAGTGGTTCAACTGCAGCGAGAGGAGTTAGCCAGCCCACTTCCACACTCCGGGTGGTTCAACTGCAGCGAGAGGAGTTAGCCAGCCCACTTCCACACTCTGGTGGTTCAACTGCAGCGAGAGGAGTTAGCCAGCTCACTTCCACACTCCGGGTGGTTCAACTGCAGCGAGAGGAGTTAGCCAGCCCACTTCCACACTCTGGTGGTTCAACTGCAGCGAGAGGAGTTAGCCAGCCCACTTCCACACTCCGGGTGGTTCAACTGCAGCGAGATGGGTTAGCCAGCCCACTTCCACATGCTCAGTGGTTCAACTGCAGCGAGATGGGTTAGCCAGCCCACTTCCACACTCCGGGTGGTTCAACTGCAGCGAGAGGAGTTAGCCAGCCCACTTCCACATGCTCAGTGGTTCAACTGCAGCGAGATGGGTTAGCCAGCCCACTTCCACACTCCGGGTGGTTCAACTGCAGCGAGAGGAGTTAGCCAGCCCACTTCCACACTCTCGGTGGTTCAACTGCAGCGAGAGGAGTTAGCCAGCCCACTTCCACACTCTGGTGGTTCAACTGCAGCGAGAGGAGTTAGCCAGCCCATTTCCACACTCTAGGTGGTTCAACTGCAGCGAGAGGAGTTAGCCAGCCCACTTCCACACTCTGGTGGTTCAACTGCAGCGAGAGGAGTTAGCCAGCCCACTTCCACACTCTGGTGGTTCAACTGCAGCGAGAGGAGTTAGCCAGCCCACTTCCACACTCCGGGTGGTTCAACTGCAGCGAGAGGAGTTAGCCAGCCCACTTCCACACTCTGGGTGGTTCAACTGCAGCGAGAGGAGTTAGCCAGCCCACTTCCACACTCTGGTGGTTCAACTGCAGCGAGAGGAGTTAGCCAGCCCACTTCCACACTCCGGGTGGTTCAACTGCAGCGAGAGGAGTTAGCCAGCCCACTTCCACACTCTGGGTGGTTCAACTGCAGCGAGAGGAGTTAGCCAGCCCACTTCCACACTCTGGGTGGTTCAACTGCAGTGGATCTACGGCCGCGAGGTGAGCTGCTTCACACCACTGCCTCCCTGTGTCAACTACAAATTACTCTCACTGGACTCAAGTGCAGGAATCCATGAGGCTCCTGTGTGACACCAGCCAGCACCCACGGCTCCTGGTTTCAGAGTGTACTCGTGCTGACAGGATCACTGTTCTCATAGGACATGCGACAAACCAACGTCACAAATGTGAACCTGTAAGGTCAACACACTAATATGTAACCATTGCCTTCATGTGTTTTATATACTGGGGTTCTGTGTTCAAGGTTCACTACTTTAAAAAAAGCAAAAGGATGCCCGCCTGGTATGGCTTAGTGGTTGAGCCCTGACCCATGCACCAAGAGGGCACGGGTTCGATTCCTGGTCAGGGCACATGCCCAGGTTGTGGGCCTGATCCCCAGTGGGGGGCATGCAGGAGGTGGCCAATCAATGTTCTCTCTCATTGAGGTTTCTGTCTCTCTCTGCCTCTCCCTTCCTCTGTCTCTAAAATCAATTTAAAAATTTTTTTTAAAGCACAAGGAGGTGGTGATCAAGATCTTTTGGGTTGTTGCCTAACTCTGCCACCATGGTTTAGCAACTCCGGGCCTCAGTTTCTTCATCTATAAAATGCGAAGAGCCCTGGCCGAGTTGGCTCAGTGGTTACAGCTTTGGCCCGGTAGAGGGCACGTATTGTGGTTGCAGGTTTGATCCCTGGCCCCGGTCGGGGTTGTGCAGGAGGCAACCAATACGTGTCTCTCTCACATTGAAGTTTCTCCTTCTTTCTTCCTCCCTCTATCCCTCTTTCCCTCCCTCCCTTCCACTCTCTCTAAAATATTGTCAATGGAAAAATATCCTTGGGTGAAGATTAACAGCAAATGGGAACTGAGGCACCCATTTCACTGGTTTGTTAGGAAACCAAAAGCAAATAGCTGAAAACACATCAAAGAATTGAAAGTGCGGAGCCAAAAGCACATGGTGATGATCCATTTCCTCCTCCATACGGTGCGGATAGTGATGCTGCAACTACGATCAATAATAATATTACAAATAACAGATCAATTAAAGTATTATTGATCAAAAAATAGGTCATCAACTCTGCTGCATGTGCCCAGCAGGGTGCTCCCTGCACGCCCTGAAGTCTCCAGGTCCCTCCCTTCAGCCCTGCGAGGCCAACTTCATCCCCACACACCGGTGGGGCTTCGCGAGAACAGCAGGAGCTGCCTCCTCTGCTACGGGACTTCCTCCGAGACCTCAGTGTGACCACACGTGTGGCAATCAGTGCGAGTCCACATGGGTGGTGACTTCACAGGGCTTCGGCAGGAGTCGTATTGAGGCTGAGGTGAGCCTCTGGCCTGTCTGCATGCTTTCCCGGGCCGGCCCTCCTCATCGGAGCGGAGCGATGTGCAGTGTGGCCCTGCGGGAGCAGGGGGTGCTGGGAGCAGGGGGTGCAAGCCCCCCGCAGAGTCCCTGGCTCAACGCAGGCTGACTGTTGACTCTGGGAAGCTCAAGCAGCTGGAGCAGAACAGGGTTGGGAGAGTACGAGGGGCAGGGTGCTCCCAATGGCCCCCTCTCCAGCTTGGGCAGGCTGCCAAGGCCCTGGAAGGCAGCCAGTATTGGCCAGAAATGGCTTGCTCTTCACAAGACAATGAGTCCCCTGTTAACTGGCCAGGCCTTGATTAATATTTGCAAAAGGAACCAAGTGGAAAATTCCACCTGTGTGGGCAGAGGCAGGGCTGGGGCCATGTCAACAACCCTAATGGCCTTGTTCTCTCAGGATGGCTCCAGCCGAGATACAAAGGTCTGATAGCAGTGACAGACCTGAGGGTGTCGTTGCGCTTGGGTCCAAAGGAATTTCCTTATTTGGATCATAGAGATAGTAATTTGTTTTTTATTGTCCTGCTTCCTCTGCCTCTAAATTTATACAGCACCTTTAAATCTTTCAACGTCCTCCTGTCTCTTCAGAGTCAGCCACCAGCCTTGCCAGTCCCGCAGGGCTGGTGTCCACTCCACGTTATGGATGAGGATTAACTGAGGCTCCAGGACACCAAGAGCCTCACCGAAGGCTTCAACGGGAGCTGGGGATCCCTGGAATCTTGACCCCCAGCTGTGACACAGAGCCTGTCCCAGAGGGCCTGGGGTCAGGGGTCAGGGGCCATGGGTACTGGATAGAGTGGTCTTCCAGCTCCAGTAAGGCTTCACCCACCCGAGGAGGAAGAGGAGCAAGCCCAAATCAGCTCTCCCAGCTGGGTAGGCTCAGGTGCTGGCCTGGGAGGAAGGTATGCATTCAGCCATCCATTCAGGCATTAACGAGCGCCTGCGAAACACCCCACGCGAAGGCACACTGCACCGGTGCCCTTTCAGCCACCCAGACCTGGCAGAATTCATGACCCAGGGGGTAAGGTCAGAGTATCAACAGTCGCCTCCCTGGGAGCTAAGTCACCTCATTTAGCCATTGCCAATCCACTCCCACCTGCTGATGTCACAGATCAGGAAAATGAGGCTCTGAGGACAGTGACTTGCTCCAGGTCACAGAGAGTGAGGCTGAGACCTCTGGCCCTGCCTCCAGATTATAAAGCCACAACTTTACTGGGCGTAGGCATTCCAACAGATGGTGTCCCTTTCAGCAGGCCTCTTTGGGGGCTGCTACTTCGTCAGCAAGAATTCTCACAGAGGAACACTCTTCGCAATGACCTTCTGAGCAGGGTGGGACCGCCCGAGGAGACAGGCAGGTGCACCTTGTTTGCCCGCAGAGAACACCAGGTGTGGCTGCAGGCCTCGCCTCTGGACCGCACTCTGCAGTCCCGTCTCCAGAGCTGGCCGTGGCATCATCCCCACCCTACAAAGGGCCAAGCCCAGAGCAGTGTCGTATCTCTGTGCCCGCACCCCTCAAGCCTGGACCCAGGGCAGTGGCTGGGGGACTCATTCAGCCTTTGTCCCATGTTCTTGCCCGGCACCCCTCCTCCCCTCCTAGCCACAGGTTCAGTGTCCACTACACCACCCTCCCCTCACCCTTCTTCTCTCCTTTGCCCACCAGCTCCTTCCCCTAAAGAACCTCAGCCTGTCCCTTTGTTAACACAAAGCCACCCCCATACTCCCATACCTGAACCCACTTACTCCCATGCCCCCTCACCCTCTCCTGCCAAATCTGATTGCCAGTGACCTAAGCCAGGGAACCCCCTCGGCCCAGATTCAGCCACAGAAGGCTAGGCCACTGCAGGTCAGGAGGTCTCAGCCACCTCTCTGTGACCTCTGCCCCATCTGACCCCACAGCTGTCCCACTGCTGGTGCAGCCCCTCCTAGCTCCCACCTCCACAACGCTCTCCTCCCCCAGGGCCCTCCCCTCCTCCCCTCCTCCCCTCTCCACTCCCTAGAAATGTCAGTCTCACAAATCTTATCTCCAGGCTTGATCTCTGCATCCCTAGTTGTCCCTAAAGCTGGAACTCATCAGTCCCGAGTTCCCACAGAAGGGCCAGCTTTGGCACACAGCTGAAAGCACAACAAAGCTCAAGGCTGGCCGAGGCAGGGACAGCTAAGGGAAGTATACGGTGAGCAGCTACCTCCCGGCTGGCCTCCCACTGCCCTGCACAGCCACCCAGGCGGCCTTTCTAAAACTGAACGCTGACCACCACCTAAATCTCTGGGGTTCCTTGGCACCACGGGACGAAGTTCATAATCTCAAGCTGGCGGGTGAGGCTGCTTCCATCTGCACTTCCACCGCAGGGCAGCACCGGTGCCAGTGAACATGCTCTCACCACACTCATCCTCAGTCCAAGCGGGCCCATCCGCCAGCACCCATGTGTTGTTCACCTTTGCACCCCAGTACTGGCACCCTGTAGGTGTTTGCTAAGATGACAGATATCAGAGCCAGAAATAACCTCAGAAGCCACAGTGCTCAAGCAACTCAGTGAGGTTGAGCAAAGGGCCCAGGGTCACCCAGCCCTAGGCAAGGGTGAGGCAACAACCTCACCGGAACCACTCTCCTTGGTCAGCAATCAGACCAATACTCTGGAAATGTCACCTGAAACCCCACAGTGTGCATGCTAGGGCACCCAGTTGACCTTAAGGCTAGGCCCACTCCACTGCAGGCCCAAATCTGCACCCAGCAGGTGGGCCAGGGCTGGCACACTGTAGGACTGCAGCAAAAACAGCTGCTTAATAAGTCAACCTCTTGCCAATTCCATCCATAAGATCCACATCCCTCTCTAGGTTCTTAGGCCCCTCATCTGCAGCATGGACCTAACTTGGCTTACAAGTTTACGTGAGCTTGATTGGTCACCCCAGCCGTGTCCTTTGCAAACAGAAAAGGATGAAGCAGCAGAATGCCAAGCTCTGGATCCACTGTTAGCCCAGCTGATCTTTGTTAATCTTCCCCCAAACCACTGCATCTCAAAAACAACGGTTCCCCACCACCTGCGTCAGAATGACCAGGGAGGGCTTGTTAAATGCAGAGCTCATAACCTGCCCCACCTGAGGGTTTGGTAGGCATTCCTAAGCATGGGCCCAGAATCTGCATTTAAGGCAAAGGCAACGCTGAGAGATCCTGGGCACAGTGACACTGGAGAACCAAAGTTCCAAACTAGACTCATTCTCTAGAAATGGCACCTGGAACCCCACATGTATGCATGCCAGACCCCCATCGGACCCCTGGACCCACTCCATGCAGGCCCAAAGCTGAGCTGGGCAGGTGGGCCATACCTGGCACACAGTAGGGCCACAGCAAAGAACAGCCTTAGGAGACCCAAGTATTAGTGTCAGGCCCCATGCTGGGGAAACTTACATCTACCAGAAAAACTTGGTGGGAGTGGTGAGGGAGGGTTTCTGTTCCTGCCAAGCACCAGCTCCCGGAAGAACTCAATAAGGCCTGACTGACCGCCCGTGTCCCACCCCTTTTGCTCCAGGGGGCTCGTCCTTGCGTAAAGTGGTGGCCCAGTCTCGGTGTCAAGTCCAGGTCCTCGGGATTCACCAAAGCCCCGGCCTGAGGCCGCCCGAGTCTGCGGCAAGGAGCGTGCGGATCGCAGGCCGGGGCACAGGCGGAGCCGCTGCGGACCGAGTCTCCGGGGGTCGGGGTGCGAACCCGGTTACTCACCCGCGCAGCCGGGACCGAGAGCCGGGACGGTGGCGGAGCAGGAGCTGGAGGAGCAGGAGCTGGAGGAGCGAGCGGCGGCAGCTCCGACTCTGCTGCACTTTAACTGTCGGCGCCGGCGCAGCGCGCGCTCCGCGGCCAGGCGGGGAACCGCGGGCGTCTCGGGCTGGGTCGGCTCGGGGCGGGGACCGCAGCGCCGCACTGGCCGCTGGCCTGGCGGGCGGGGCGCGCAGCCGGAGGCGTGAAAGCAGCGGTGCACCTGGCTCCCTACGCCCACGGGTGCGCGGGGTTCGCGCGCTGCTGCTCCGCGTGCTCTGCCTGCGAAAGGTCCGGAGCGGCTCGGACCCGGCTCATCCCCCCGAATCCGGCAGGCGAGGGCTCTTCCAAGCTCCCCACCGGGGGAGGGGGCGGCGGAGCCCAGAGGGGTGGCCCAGGGCGCCTGGACGGGAGCGCGGCGGAAGGCTGGCCGGGGTCTGCACGGTGGGGGACGGTGGCCCCGCGATGTCGCTGGTGTTGCTGAGTTTGGCCGCGCTGTGCTGGGGTGCCCTGCCCCCGGAGCCGGTAAGCTCTCGTCCGCGCCTCTTTCCTCCATCCCTCCAGCCGGACCCTGAGGGTGGCCGACCCGCCAGCTTGTGCCTCTTCGAAGCATTCGCGGAGGGCCGTCTGGAGGGGGAAGTCTGCACCCCCTGGGCAGCCCGGCTTGCCCTGGCCAGGCGGCACCGGCTTCGGGCTGCGCGAGTCAAGGGAATGGGGTTCAGAGAGACAGACGTAGGCTCGGATGCTACCCAGTCATGGATGCTCAATGAACCTCCGTGTCCCCACCTATAAAACAAAGGGTGATGCCTAATTCACCATAATCTAGTGAGAAACAGAGAGGGCCTGCAAGGCAGCAAAGAGCCCGGCATGCAGTAGGTGCTCAGTATTGTTACTGCTTGGGGTCTTGAGACCTGCCCACCTTTTGGGGCACAAGAACTCCCTGTCCTCACTACTGGCCGCCTTTGTCATGTTGATTCCCTCTGTGCTGGGGCGCTTCGCCCCTGGAGCTGGTAAGCCTGGGACTGCCCTGCATGAATTTCCTTTCCTCCCAGTGTCTTGAAAGGCTGAGGGAATCTTCGGAGTCACTTAAGAGGAAAAAGCTCATGCACAAAATAGTATTTGAAATTACGTGCCTGCCTTTTTAGCACAGCATAAAACATAAAAGCATGGTGGTTACTTGTTGATGGTTATGGAAAGACAAACTCCACTTATGTGCCCTGTCTTCAGCTACTATCCTTGGCACCTCTGTCTCCAATTGGCACCCCCCTGCCCTTTTCCCCTGGGGGAAGAACTCCTTGCCTTCCAGTAGTTGCTATCAGGCCAACAGTTTGAACTCTAAAGCATAGAGCTATTGCTTTGCTTCTTCCTACAACTTGTCTCACCAACCTTTTGACAGAACTCAGCCCCCAGTATGGTGACTTACTCGTTTTTAAAAATGTCTGATGATATAGCTTGGAGTTCAGCTTCAAAAAGACAAAGGTGAGCAACTGGCAATTTCACCTAAACCCAGATTACTCGAACCGTCCAGCCTTGCCTTCTGTCTTACAAGGTGTTTGGAAATGTTGAGGCTGAGAGGGATCAGCTTCCAGAGCTGGTAGACTTATCACACTGAGTCTTGTCACTAGTACTTGCTGCTGCCTAAAAGGTCCAGTATTTTATTCCAAAACTGTTTTTTTCTTATTAAAATCACGAGCTGTTAACTCCAGAGGACTGGGTACTGGCCTTCCTTAGACACTGAGTTCTTTTAAAAAGATAACATGATGAGACCACAGTTGCTTTATGATTTTGTAAATAACTCAGGTGAGTCAGTCCTTTTGTATTAGAAGAGGGATATTTTAAAGAACCTGGGGAAGGTACCATGACCTGCATTCATGGCTTTCCTCTGTTCATCTTCTTAGCACAACCAACCCTTTTTTTTGGTGGTACGTGCCCCTAGTGGGAACCGAACCCAGGACTCTCTGGTCCACAGGCCGATGCTCAACCGCTGAGCCAAACTGGCCAGGGCGCCAATCCTTAACCTGGGGAAAATAAAAAGGTACTCCAAATGGCCCTGGAAACCTACAGTTAAATTTTAGAGTGTGAAGAGGTCTTCATGATGGTCTGGAGTCATCCCCTCTGGTCTTTGAGGTAATAAACAGGCTTCAGGATCTAGTATACTGATGGCTGACTTATGGTCCATCATAGCCTACAAAGGGGCAGCTCAGTCTCCCCCACACTGTGAAGTGGAACCAGCTCAGCTTTTCTTTGAGCATCTGTCACTTGTATATGCATTTAAGAAAAAAGGATGGTGTCTTGACTAACTTGGCTGTGGTCACTGGCATTCAGCATGACACTTGGTTTCTTTCTCTCTTGCAGACGATTCAATGTGGCTCTGAAAATGGTAGGTGGACTAGGCAATGGGTATTTGGGGCATTGCACTGAAATTGAAAGCACAGTTGGGCTTTTTTGGGGGCCCGAATACAGGCAGTGGGTCATGGGAGGCTTAGGGTGAACCGTTGCTTTGTTAGCCGGTGCACAGGAAGCCTGTCTCCGCCTGAGGCCGAGTTTCCCAAGTTTCAGATGGGCTGGCTTCTGGGGCAGTAAGACAGCAAGAGGGGTGTGGGCAGGGCAGGAATGGCTGCAGGAAAGAAAGTGAAGCCTGCCACTCCTGGGAAGGAGATCAAGTGCTGGGGGAGGGAGGTCATGTCCACTTAGAAACAGGAAGTGTTTTAGAGAAGGGGTGTTTGAGATTGTAGCATTTGAAGACTGGGTGGACTTCTGCCTAAGAAATGTGGATGAAGAGGGTGAGCTGGCAGAGAGATGGTACCGGCAGAGATGAGGAGGTAGGAAGTGGGGGTTGCGTGGGCCACCTGGTTGGAGTCCAGGCTAAGGCCTGGGGAAGGCAGGACTGAGCCTAATAAACATGTCAAATACACTGCACTACACACACACACACACACCCCTAGAGTGGTCCGAAGTGCTCTGTAGGTTGGGGCCAGGAGGTTGAGCATCACCTCTGCTGTAGATCAGTCAACACTGAGAACTAGGCAGCCAGCAGGGAGAAGGAGATTGTGAATGAGGGTTGGATTGGGGTGGGTCACTTAGAGGGGATGGCGTTGAATCGGGCCAGGGAGGGGCGTGTCATGGACAGTCTCGCCTTCTCCCAGGACCATCTCCAGAGTGGATGGTCAGTCACACTCTGACCCCAGGAGACTTGAGGGACCTTCGAGTGGAACCTGTTAAAACCACTGTTGCAATGGAAGACGATTCCATTTTGATGAATATAAGCTGGATACTCCGCGCAGATGGTAAGTTTGCAGCAATGAAAGTTAAGGCAGAAGTGTGTAGACTCTGTGATCCATTAATTTTACTCCTAGGCATATACCCAGAAGAAAATATACATATATGCACCTAAAACCATATACTAGAGTGTTCATAGTAGCATTATTCATAACGGTCGAAAGACGGAAAACACCCGTGCCTGCCTAGCCCTGGATCACAGAACGGAGTCCAGTGCAGGGTGAGCACAGTCTGTCGCGATACACAATATGGATGAATCTCACTGAGCGAAGAAGCCAGACTCAAAAGAGTTCCTACATTCATATCTGCCTGCATGCATATAGTCATATGTACCATATGATTGCATTAATAAAAATGCAAAATTAATCGAAGCAGTTAGGAGTCAGTTACGCTGGGGTGAGGGTGACTGACAGGAAGCATGAGGGACACTCCTGGGTGCTTCTCGAGCTGGGTCCTGGCTCCATGAGTGTGAGCTCATCAGGTGGAGCCCTTCTGATCTGTGTCTGTCCTGTTACACCTCCCGGAAACCACAGGGTGAGGCCGGAGATGATTCCCCGAAGTTTAGAAAAAGCACTGGCTTGGGTCGTGAACACAATACAATATACAAATGATGTATTACAGAATTGTACACTCAGAACCTATATAATCTTGTTAACCAATGTCACCCAATAAATTCAACAAAAATTTTTTTTAAAAAAAGGAAAAGCACTGGCTTAGGCAGATTACTCTTTCTGCTTCCCAATGGCATAGTGAAAGTCCTGGCTTCCCCCAAGGCAGCCTGTGAATCCTTTTGATGAACCGCTGCTGGGGCCCTAAAGTCCATGTCTGCGGTCTGCACCCTGAATTCAGTTAAATTCCATCTGGGAATGCCAGGCACAGACGGGTGCATCAGCTAAGGACACAGGGACAGGGTCGGGAATCCCAGAAGGAGCTGTGAGTGGTGGGGGCAGGGGAAAGGAGAGGACCTTGGAGAGACCACAAGATGATGCAGTGAGGATTTTGGCCCCTACCTAGCAGAGTGAGCTCTTGTGTCTGTTAGCTGTTGTTATGGACATAAATTCAAGGAGTAAGCCCTGGCGAGGCAGAGAATAGGAGAAAAGGACACTCCAGGAAGAATCAGCACGGATAAAAGTGCAGTCAGAACAGGCATGGCTCGGTGATGACATCCTGGGGGGGTTTTTACTTCGGAAGAGACCCGGAATAGTGCAGAGCTGCAGTCACCTCTGCAGGTATCCTGTGAGATTCAGACTCACCTGTGATGAGGAGAGTTTGGACTTTGGAATCCGAATCCATATTCTACCCGATGAGCTTTGTCTGCTTAGGCAAATCTCCCTGAAATCCCCTAAGCCTCAGTTACCCCATCGGTGAGCTGGGGACAGTAATGGTGCCTACCTCTTAGAGCTGTGGTATGGAATGAGATGAGGCATGTACACTCTTAGCACTGAGTCGGCCACCTCATAGGTGCTAAATAAACAACTGCTCTCTCGTCTCTCTCTGCAGCCAGCATCTGTTTCTTGAAGGCCACCAAGATCTGTGTGTCAGGCAAAAGCAATGTCCAGTCCTACAGCTGCGTGAGGTGCAATTACACAGAGGCCTTTCAGACTCAGACCAGACCCTCTGGTGGCAAAGTAAGCACTTTGAGGAACTTGGCTAATTGTCCTGAAGCCAGAAAGGCCCTTTGTTGGGGACAAGGACGGTGTGCTGTGCACACAGGCTGGTGAGCAGCTACAGCTTCCAGCCTGGAGCACCGTGTCTGGGTTCAGAGCCCAGTGTTGGCCACTTGTCCGCTGTGTGCCTTGGGCAAGTCAGCATCTCTCAGCCTCAGTTTCCCCATCAGCAAAGTGAGGGAGGCTGAACTTAAATTATATCCTGGCTCTAAAAGTTTACACTGCTCTGATTCTGTGAGTTATACTGACAAAGTGGCGGGGCCCATTCAGCAGGAGGTGGAGGAGCGAAAACATGATGAAAAGGGCCGCACAGAGGTACCATGTTTCTGCACTGAGTGTTTCCAACTCGGGTCCTCGCTTTGCCTTTCAGTGGGCGTTTTCCTACACTGGCTTCCCTGTAGAGCTGAACACACTCTATTTCATTGGGGCCCATAACATCCCCAATGCAAATATGAACGAAGACAGCCCCTCCATGTCTGTGAATTTCACCTCACCAGGTAACTCCCTCACTCTCCTGTTATTGTTTTGCTGGGATGCTTGCTCTGGGGATGTGCTTTGGCACAGACAGGCCAGGGAACCCTGGACAAGGCTTTGGCCTTGCCACGTCTTGGAGTACGGACACCACAGTAACCGCACCTCGCAGAGTGGACGAGGTAAAGTTGGGGGAAAGCCCGTTTCTGTGTGTTGGGCACTACGCTGAGCATTTGACATGCATCGTGTCACTTAAGCCTCCAACAACCCCGAGGCCGGAATAGCCGTTTACAGGTGAAGACATTTCTCAAGTAACTTGGCCTGAGTTACATGCACAAAGTGAAGCTGATATTCAAACTCTGGTCCTTCTTGGTCCATGCACTGTAGCCATTCTTTGTCATTGATGCAAAACATCTGTTCCAGCCCTGGCCGGTGTGGCTCAGTTAGTTGGAGTGTCATCCCATACACCAAAAGATCATGGGTTCGGTTCCTGGTCAGGGCGCATACCCAGGGTTTGGTTCGGTTCCTGGTCAGGGCGCATACCCAGGTTTTGGTTCGGTTCCTGGTCAGGGCGGATACCCAGGTTTTGGTTCGGTTCCTGGTCAGGGCGCATACCCAGGTTTTGGTTCGGTTCCTGGTCAGGGCGCATACCCAGGTTTTGGTTCGGTTCCTGGTCAGGGCGCATACCCAGGTTTTGGTTCGGTTCCTGGTCAGGGCGCATACCCAGGTTTTGGTTCAGTTCCTGGTCAGGGTGCATGCAGGAGGCCACCCTTCAATGTTTCTCTCTCAAATCGATGTTTCTTTCTCTCTCCTGTCCTCTCTCTAAAATCAGTTTCAAAAAAAAAAAGATAGATTGATATATCTGAGAAAACAGAACGTTTGTTCTGGTGTTGGCTCACCGTGTTGTTCGAGAGCATGCTGCTGGGTCTCTGAGGGGCACACCGGCAGCGAGCTGGTCCCTGGCGGTTGGGGAGAGGCAGGGAGAGGCAGGCTGGCAGTGGAATGCTAGGTGTGTGTGTGGTGCCCCCCCCCCCCCCCCGCTCCACGACACTCAGCTCTCCGGCGTTACCCCGCAGTGTCACACGGGGCTGCCGTGAGGAGACAGGACTGTGTGGGAAGGTCCAGCATGGTGTCTGACTGCAGTAGTCCCCACACCAGCCCCGTCTGGGATGGGCCACTTGTATTGTACTCCACGTCTGTTCTCTGACGCAGGTGAATTTCCAAATGGGCACTTTCCAGTCATCATTCTTTGGGCTGTGGTCCAGGGTGGTGTTGGTGCCACATCGTTCACTCCCCTGCAGTTTCCAGCTTTGCTGACGAGCCCAAATCGCATCCTTAAAATACAGAACCGTGTTTGTGCTGGGATGGTTTCAAATTTATAGAACAGCTGCAAAGATAGCTCGAAGAGTTTCCATATGTTTTCCTCGTCATTAACATCTCATATTACCATGAGACATTTGTTACAGCTAAGACACTGACGTTTGTTAACTAAGCTCCAGACTTCATTCTGATTTCACCTGCTTTTCCATGAATGTCCTCTTTCTGTCCCCGTCTCCTCTGGTCTGTGACAGCTTTAGTCTTTCTTTGTTCCTCATGACCTTGACAGTCTTGCAGAGCACTGGCCGGGCATCCCGTGGAATGTCCCCCCATCTGAGCATACTGCAGGGGAGAGGTACCCTTCTCATGGCACCCCATCAGGGTGGGTGACATCCACACATCACTTGTTGACCTTTATCACTTGGTTAAGTGGCATCTGCCGGGCTTCTCCATGTACATCTACGACCAAGTCTAGTTTATGGAAACAAGTCACGAAGTCTGTGCACCTGGGAGGGAGGTGGGATGGATTAAACTGTACCCCTGGAAGGGGCCGTCTTACACATATCACCAAACTTCGTTTTTAAAGGACGGTTTGAATCTTCTTGGGGGATCACAGGTTCCGTTGTAATAAGGCTGTTATTTAAATTAGACTCTGGTTATCATCTCATGGGTAGATAATCTTCTATTTGAAGTAAAATGTTAGTGCCCCTTTAATCTGCTATCTTAGCTCACATCTTGAATATTTTGGCAGTTCATTTGGGTGTGGTCAGCGTAGATGTGTGTGCTTGTTGGCAAGGAGGTGAGCAGAGACGCCTTTTCTAAAATGTAAAAACTTTCACTCAAATTTCCAGGCTGCCTAGACCGGGTGATGAAATACAAAAAACAGTGCATCGAGGCAGGTGAGTAAATACAGCATTCGCTTCGTTATCCGAAGAAATCTGTAACTTGAGCCAGCACAGCTCGAAGCATCTTCCGTGAAGAAACGAAGGCTGAGAGCAGGGAGTTACGTTTCCAAGTTGCTCAGACAGTGAAGGCGGGTCCCTGTCCAGTGCTTTGCCCACTGAGTCACGCAGCCAGTCTGTCCAGGGCAGGACAGACCCTTCGTGGGTCTGTGCAGTGAGCAAGTCACAGAGCAATGCCCCGCCCTGGGGGCTGAACCATTTTAGCTCAAACCAAACTTACAGTGGTGCCAAAGGCCCTTCCTCCTTGGAGGGCAATCCGGGTCCTCCCACCTGTTCAGGTACCAGTACCTCTGACCTAGGGACCCTGAGAACCTTCTGTTTGGATCAGCAAACGTTCAAAGTAGCAGTGTTAGCTGCAGTAATGACTTCAATGCATGTCCTCCACCTGTGTCCTCACAGGGGCCATCTCTTATGTGCTAGGCTACTAGAATTTTGAAATCAGCCCCTTATGACAAACAGTCCCAGGTGTCTAATTTTAAGGATTGTACAAGGATGTGTGTAAACTTCCGGGTAATGAAGTCTTGGGGTGTTAAAGGGGCTAGTGGTATTTGGGGGAATTGGCCCTATCTTTCAGGCACCCTGTGTGTCCTGACAGACTGAGCTGCAGAGGTCTCCTTGTTGGCAGATGGCAGAAGGGCTCTGTGCCGACAGGGGCCTGGAGTATGGAGGGCAGCAGGGGGTGAAGTCCGAGGGCCTCCAGTTAGCCCTGGAGCAGCTCCTAGAGGCTGTCGGAGCCTGGCCCAGAAAGGGTGTCCTAGGTGGGAAAATAACGCATGCTACTATACATTACCTTCCTGAGAACGAACCTAGTGCTGATTTGCAAGTCACATGAATGAAACAATTGGCCTTTTCTCATTGAGTAGACCAGTCAGGGTAACTTCTAAGCTAGGAGGCATTTCCGTATTTTTTTTTTTTTTTAAATTTACCGATTGATTTTAGAGAGAGGAAAGGAGGGAGAAGGAAAGAGGGAGGGAGGGAGGGAAGAAGGGGGGGAGAGAGAGAGAGAGAGAGAAACACTAATTTGTTGTCCCATTCACTGGTCGCTTCTTGAATGTGCCCGGACCAGGGATGGAACCCGCAACCTTGGCATATCGGGCCGACGCTCTAACAGCCGAGCTACCTGGCCAGGGTCTGCTCCTTCTTTCTTCACGTCCAGTAAAGTGGGCAGCACAGCCCGAAGGGTGACGCTCCTGGAACCCAGACTGTTCCAGTGGTTGTGGTCCTGAACCCGAATCACTTGCTTTGTCATCTTAGACATGTCCCTAACCCATGGCTCCTCCTCCCCATCCCGGAAAGGAGATACTGACCCCAGCCCTGAAGTCAGAACGGAGGCTGAGAACAGAACTGAGTGGTAGAACCCAAGCTGTGCCTGCCACTGCCCTCAGCCCAGGGAGGCTGTCTTAGCAGAACAGTAACTTGGGAGGCATTAAACTTTCTTGGGCAGCAGCTACTTGAATATTCTTGGAGCAATGACAAATAGAAAGTGCACTGTGTGTAGAGTCCATATCGCTTGGAGGTGTGCCTGAGAACTCACTTTCGTTTTCGTAAAGCCCTTTTGGGGACTGAAGTGAGGAAGAGTTGGCAACTTCACCCATGTGATGCTCTTGATAGGAAGTCTGTGGGATCCAAACATCACTGCTTGCAAGAAGGACGAGAAGACAGTGGAAGTGAACTTCACGACAAGTCCCCTTGGAAACAAATACATGGCCATTATCCAGAATAAGACTGTGATTGGGACTTCTACGTTGGAGGTATTCTTTCCCTTCACGTCCTCACCCCACCCCACCCTCCCCAGCTTTCCTGACGTTGAAGAACAAGGAGGACATGCGAGGGTTCCCTGGACAGGCTCTTCCGAGAGACCACAGGCAGGATGGTCTACTGTCCAAATGTGCTGGGAGATTTTGATTCATTCAACAGAGACACACGAGTCTTGCAGGTGTCCCTGGAAACGTCCCTGTGAATCTAAGTCAGAACAAAGGCAGAGGGTCAGAAGCATGAAATGCACCTGTGTTCATACAGCCTAAAGAACTGAGTCAGGGTGGGAAGCGTGGTTTCTTCACCGGCGGACCGATCTACTCGCTCACGCGGCTCCTAATTCTTGCTTTTGTCTCAAGTCTCCACACCAGAGCAACCCAACCCGAGCGTCGGTCGTGGTTCTGGTGACTGCGGAGAGTGAAGGTGCTGTGGTCCAGGTGAGGAGCTCCGGGAGGAGGGGCCTGTTTCCCCACACCCACGGCTGTGCTGAGTCCTTGCGGAGCTGGGCCGGCGTCCTCGTCCTGCCTGCAGTACCTCCACATCCTTGTCTCACTCCTCCCGGTGGGGAGCCCAGGAAGCGGGCCTGACACTGTGGTCCCTTTGCTCTTGTTAGCGGCTGCTGACTCTCCAGAGGGCTATTTCACTTCCTGTCACAGTGTCTCTGAGTAATTCTGAGACAGCTGTACCGTTTTCTTTCCCGAAGCCTCAGGTTTCACAGCCCAATGAGGGGACACAAGATGTGAAATGTGACAGCTGGGGTTCCCGATTAATGTGTGAGCTTTGAGGGGCAACCGTCTGTCCTCCCCGGACCCCTTCAGATCTGTGTGTGACCTGGGCCACGGAGGGTGTAGGGGGACACAGCCACGCCCGCGATCCGAGGAGCTCTGGAACCTGGAGGCAGAGCGTGCTGTGCCAGGGAGACGCCCGGCCACATCCTCCCCGGGAACCAGGCGCTCTAGGCCCAGAGGTCTCGTCTGCCACCAAGCATGGCTTAACGGGAGCTCCGCTGGTGTTCGCGGGAATATCTGTGTGTATATAGGCTGTGGCCTAACCCAGGGATGTGGAACTAACATGTTAGCAACATGTACAAAATTTAGGTTCAAACCCCAAGAGACTCAGAAGGTGCTTCCATCTTGGTCACTGGCTTGGATTTTAGGACTTTGTCACCAAAGTGTGACCAACAGGGGAAAATGTCCTATGATGGGGGCGTGGGGTGGGGAGCAGGGTTGAAACCAGAAGAAAATGAAGAGAAGTTTTGGTAGAAGTAGGCACATTGGTGAGATTTTGCTCTGATGCGTAGTGAGACCTTTCTGACCTCTCGTTTTTCCTCAGTTGACCCCGTATTTCCATACGTGTGGCTATGACTGCATCCGTCGCAAAGGAACTGTTGTGCTTTGTCCACAAACAGGTGTGTCCCTCCCTCTGGATAAAAGTAAGTGCCCAGTCACTGTCACAGGATGATCATAGAGGTTCAGGACATGAAGGGCCGGCCACCATCACCACCCCCCATTCAGTAGGTGACAGCACACACGTGGGATGGGGCAGAGTCCCCACCTGTGTGCACTGGACTGGGGTGCAGGGCAAGATGTCAGAGCTGTGCCAGAGAGCTTGCAGTCTGAATAAGGAAGGCTTCATTTATAAAATCACCCCAAGATCCTTTGCGAAGAAAGACATACACGGGACAGAGGGCAAAATGAACAAAGCAGAATGGTGTTCAGAGCCACAAGGTTCTGCTGCAGAGTCAAGAGCATAAAACGACTCCTCGTATAAGGGAATGCGTGCTTCCCTGCGTGTCTGTTATCTGACCAGTCTCGGTGACCCAGGCCTAGCTGTTGCCGTCACTTGATGGGGTCACATGGCCAACATTTGGATCACAAATCAGGAACACTGGCACCTAAAGACATGCCTCACTGGAGCCTGAGCACAGCTTTTGGAAAATGTCTCTGGATTTAGAGATGTTGGTGCTTCCATTTAGAGATGGACAAATAAATGTTCTGGACCTAGCCCAGGGGTGGAGTCAAAACTTGGAAGGCAGTGGTCTTGGAAACTCAGCCAAACCAGCTGAGGACAACCCAGGTGCCCAACAGTCCCGCTCCGGGGCAGTGCCCGTGGGTCTGAGCACGTGTGCCTGAGCTTACCTGACCCTTGACATCCCACGAGGGGTTGCATTACCCCCCACATTCTGTCTTATGAAACAGCCTTTCAAAATGCCATCTATGGCCCTGGCTGGTGTGGGTCAGTGGTTAGTGTCGGCCCTGCACCAATGGGTCACAGGTTCATTTCCTGATCAAGGGCACATACCTGGGTTGCAGGTTTGATCCCCGGTCCTGGTCAGGGCACCTTTGGGAGGCATCCAATCAATTAGTCTACATCGATGTCTGTCTGTCTCTGTGTCTCTCTTCCTCCCTCCCTCCCCCCCGGCCCCTCTTTCCTCCTTCCTCTCTCTCCCTCCCTTCCACTCTCTCTAAAAATCAATGGAAAAAAATATCCTTGGGTAAGGGTTTAAAAAAAGCCATCTGTGAGTACTATGTATTAAGTAACTGTACCCAGAATAACATTCATTCATCAAAGAACAAAAAAACAAACATAAACTCTGGCTACCACAGTGTAAATATGGAGTAAAAAGCCAAAGTGCTTCTGGAAGACTGTTCTCAACTTCCTCCCATGTCCCCTTTGAGAAGCTAGTGGATCTGGACACTGTGGGAAAACACAGCATTCCGCAGACCCGACAGATCCAGTGACCCTGGGCTTTAAAGGGGTCTAAACTTATGTAAAGTACAGAGTAAAAACCTTAGTTTCCAAATAGGAGGTAGTTTGTTTGGCTTTGCTGAAGGTGAACAGCTCTGTTTTCTCCAGGCAGGAGCGTACTGAGCGGCTGGCTGCTTCTCCTCCCGGCTCTGCTGGTGGCCACGTGGGTGCTGGCGGCCGGGATCTATCTACTGTGGAGGCATGGTAAGGGCTGGGGTGCTGTGCTTCAGCGAAGCCTCAGTGAGGAAAGAACCCCTGGGATGTTTTACAGGAGACTCCTCCCGAGGCAGTCCCACCGGGCACTGGGCGGGAGCGGACGGCATTTAGCTGACCCTTAGAGCGCTCCTGAAAAAACTGAGCTAATGCCGGCTCACACCTGCGAAGGTAAAGCAGGGGTCGGACTTCCAAATCTGGTGGCTGTCATCTGTTTCCTGTTTACCATGACTGACAGGCCCTGACAAGGGCAAAGGTAGCTAATAAGGATGGATGGCAGTGTACCTGTGACAGGTACTCTCTGCCAGTTCCTGTTTTAAAACTAATTCTGACAAGGCATAAGAACAGTCACGTGGATTCACACACTCTAAGGACCTTGCCAACATTGAAATATTGAGGCCTGACCACAGGAACCAGAGCGTAGCACCCGGCTGGAGGGTGGCACACGGAGAACCTCTGCTGCTCCTCTCCACGTGGAGAAAAGGAAGTACGAACGCAGCTTCCGAGTCTCTGTGACGGTGTAGAGTCCGTAGGTAGAACAAGAGCAATCTCACGAGTGAAGAAAGCCATGTGGAACTCTGACCCTGGGAGTACTTGCCCCTAGAAGTTGTGTGGCCTGAACTAGTTAAGTACTTTCAAAGTAGTTTCTGTTCTGTAGCACAGGGGGCAGCATTCCCGCGAAGTTCCAGCATGTCAGGCACCATGTACTGGACTATAAAGAAACTCTACCACCTGCAGGTAGAAAAAGGAACAACTACTGACTTGATCCAACTCAAAACCTGAAGGACAGATCAGCTCATTCCCGTTTATATATGGTACTAAAAATACACAAGTTACAAACCCACCGAAAACAGATTACCTTAGACCCAGTTCCCATGAATTTACCTGAAAAGGTATGGCTTGGCTAAGAGAACCGATTTGGTGATAAGGACTTCGAAAATACAGCTTTTACAACATCTTGACAGTAAAAGCCTGCCAGTTGCTGCTTCTAGATAACAAATGCTTTTCTCCCTCCACAGAAAGGATCAAGGCGTCCTTCCCCGCCAGCACGCGACTGCCCCCCATCAAGGTTCTTGTGGTTTACCCACCCGAAATGTGTTTCCGGCACACAGTGTGTGACTTCACGGGGTTCCTGCAGAACCACTGCAGGAGCGAGGTCATCCTGGACAAGTGGCAGAAGAAGAAGATAGCCGAGATGGGGCCAGTGCAGTGGCTCACCACTCAGAAGAAGGCGGCGGATAAAGTCATTTTCTTTCTCTCCAGCGACATGAACACTGCCTGTGACGGTACCTGTGGCAAGAGCAAGGGCAGCCCCCAGGAGGACTCCCAAGACCTGTTCCCCCTTGCCTTTAACCTCTTCTGCAGTGACCTGAGAAGCCAGACGCATCTGCACAAATACACGGTGGTCTGTTCTACAGAGGCTGACATCAGAGACGAGTACAGCGCCCTCAGCGTCTGCCCCAAGCACTGCCTCATGAAGGAGGCTGCCGCTTTCTGCACCAGCCTTCTCCCGGCCGAGCAGCACGGGCCGGTGGGGAAGGGGCTGTGGGCCTGCCACAGCAGCTGCTCCTCCCTGTAGCCCGCCCACGGGAGAACTGAGGCCTGCCTCCCGCCAGGAGAGCTTCGGTGATGGTTCTGAAGTTTACTGGAAGGGCTCCTTGTAGGGAGGATTTTATGTGCACACCTGCTTTAGCTTTAGCTATAGGAATAGGGAGGACTCATAATGACATACATATGCCTTAGTCTAGTGATTAAACTTTTTATGCCGACAGTTGCAAATGTTACTACTGTAGTATTAAAGAATGGAAACTAAATTTTAATTATAAAGCTTAATCAATTTCCTAACTAAAAACCAATGTCATGTAAAACCGTAACCGTCTGCCGGTGCAGTGAGAGAGCATCTCCTAGTTGAACGTCCAGTCTTGAACAGTCCACACCTCGCATTGGAAGTAGAATTGTTTAGCTCTGTAGCACGCTAAGTTTAATTAATGAAGGCCAAACTTAATAAGCCCTCACTAATTCACTCAATAATTTCTCTGGTAAAATCACCCTATTACCCACACCCGTCTTTATTTTTAATATGACAAAAATAGGGAATAACAGGCCGAATCCATCTTCGCTGACCACGTGAACTAGCATACGTGTAACCACATGTATCACTTGGTGTTTTCACAGGCCCTTCCCTGTCTGAACCAGGTTCATGTCCTGAGTGCCTCTTGTACAGGTGACTTTAACGTGAACACTTGCAGATCTGTCGTCTGCCTCTGCCTAGTTACCTACTAGACAGAGGTCACTGACAGAGTTCAGTTTCTTGGTTATTACATAACTTTTTGTGTTCAGAACAAAAATAATTCCTATTATGTTAGAAGATAGCCCTCTTGAAGTAATTAATCTTATAAATGAGTTATTATAATGGCTTACTTATAAAAAAATAAAATAAAAACAAACAGAAACTACTATAGAGTTACAGAACACAAGAGTTAGTGATATTTTGAGACTTCTTTTTATTTTCCTAAAAGCGTGTTTTTCTTACTCGAGGTCACCAAAAGGTCGTACGTGTTAGTGTTTGTCTTCTGGGAAAGCCTGTCCTTTCTCACAGCGTAATACTGCATCCACCCCAGAATGCAGACCAGCTTCAGGTGGATGAGTGCTAACATGTATTTGTAGATTACTCTTTTTTTTTTATCCTCACCTGAGGGCATTTTTCCATATTTTGTTCAGATAGTGTGGGAGAGAGAGAGAGAAACATCGACGTGAAAAGGGACACATCGAGTGGCTGCCACCCACACAACCCAACCAGGGCCGGGGACAAACTGCAACCAAGGTACGTGCCCTTGGTGGGAACCAAACCTGGGTCTCTCTGGACCACAGGCCAACACTCTAACTGCTGAGCCAAACTGGCCAGGGCTGTAGATTATTCTTAAAGGGCCAGGCCACTCCTTCTAATACATGTCCTAAGGACAAAAAACAACAACAACAAAAAAATAAGCAGAGTGAAATCTCACCGTGTCCAGCTTCACCAGCAGATACTTAGTAATGACTCAGGCAGTAAGTTTAATGTGGTAAAGGTCACTTATTTGTCCAGATCAGTCTTCACGGCGCGTTAAAGTACTGGCAACAGAAGACGGACATGGCTGTGTCAAAACCTGGACCAGAAGCCAACTTCCTCTCAGTCAACATCTACCAGTTATAAGAACAATGCTATTATGTGAAAAAGTATTAAAAATAGAAGCCCTGGCCCATGTGGCTCAGTTGAGCATCATCCCGTGCACCAAAAGGTGCACTGGTTCAATTCCCAGTTGGGGCACATGCCCAAGTTGCAGGCTTGGTCCTGTCAGGGTGCATGTGGGGGGCAGCTGATCGATTTCTCTCTTTCTCCCTTCCTCTCTCTCTAAAATCAATACAAACATTTGAAAAAATACATTATCCTTTTGGAACTAGGTAACCAATACTAAATTGTGGGTAAAAACTCAAACATAAATAAAATTAACATTATATAAATTTACTGTTAAACTTTTTTTAAATCAAAGAACATACGATTTCAGACTGAAGGCATACATTCCAAATAGTACCAGCAGGTTAAATTTTGTTATACTGGTGGACTCGCCTTTGTTCCTTACCTACTGGGCAGGTAGAGGTGCTCTTATCAATGCGAAATGCTCCGTCACCAGAACTGCTCCGTGTCCTAAGATGATTGCCATCCCTGTTCTACATCCACTCGCACCTCTACCCCTTCCGTCCCTATGCCTGTCTGTCCCCCAGCGCCATCTCCAGCTCCTGACGACGACTGGAGGCAAGTGCAGGAGCCTAGCAAGAGCCCGGCACCTGCCCACCCTCCCGGGTCTCGGAGCCCAGCCTGTGCTCACTCTGTCTTCTGTGACAATGCCTTCTCTTCCTTCGGCCAGGGCTCAGAGGTGTCACTAAGGCCTGGCTGGGCCACTGGTGGCAATAGCTGTCTGTATCATTTTGCTTCAGACTGCGCACAGATTAAGGTCAACCAATTGTACTGAACACAGAGAACTCCGAGTGTTTTCACTGGGTTCTTCGGGTAAAGGGAAACCAGGGGTGCGATGATTAAGTCAGCAGTAATTGTAGCAGTCACCTTGCTTACCCATACAACATACACTAACAACTCTAAGTTATACCTAAAGCATTTCTATTTGACTTCAGGAAAGAAACAAATTTTCGTTTTCTGCTTCTGTTCTTTTTTGGTCAAATGCCTGTTTTCTCTTCCCAAGCCTACCCTAGAGCATGCTGGGTAACAAAAGCCAGCCAACCCAGCTTTAAACCTTGGCTTCAGCAAATTTAGACCTGAATGGGCCCCATCGTTTTTGTAATCCAATAGAAAAGTTTTAAAAAGAAGAGTAAAACATTTTCCTATTTAGCATTCCAAGGGCACACACGAGTCACATCACAGGTGGGAAAATGTCATGACCATACAGTTCTCACAATTCAGGTCCCCAAGTCACATGCCCACCCTCGTGGTCACAGGAGACTGTCCTGTGACACTCAGAAGTCAATGTAAATGAAGAGTCACCGCCTGACACCTGCTCCACCATTTCACATCACTGGGGAGTTTCCGAGACCCTGAGATGGGGCAGGAGGGCACAGGACACTGGTTCTCAAATGTCGTGACCACGGAAACAGCTTGGAATTTCACACCAATGTCATGTCCTCAACATAAAAGTTAAAATACATTTATTTTCCATGAAACGGAAGCATCCAGGTCAATAAATTAGAAAATCCATCCTCTGTAGGAGTGTTTTATACGGAGGCTCGTTCTGGGTCACCACACAAAGGCAGCTCGCTCTCGTAACATACGGACACCGAAGCGCTGCCATTCTCGCTGGTAGATCCACAGTTCCTGGGTGGTATCCAGACAGGCCAGCACCGCGCCCCCTTTCCATGCGATCAGCCGGGGATCCATGTCCTGGAGCAGTGATGCAGGTAGGTCAGCACAAGCACACAAGACACACAGAATCATTTACCTGAATTTGGAGGTGAAAAACCCCACTGAGTCAATACCTAGTAAGTTAGACTTTCAACCTGCATTAAGGACCCATGGGCTACAGACCTCTTTGTTTCAACTGACAAGAAAACTTTCGTTTTTATTACTGAAGCTGCTACTCTTCACTATTATTCCACAAATAGCCCTGAAGGCAGAACATATGTAAGGAAATAACTTACTTTGAAGTTGGAGTAGAATAAATATATCCCATGATTTCTCTCCCTCAGGATTAATAACTAAGAACATTTCCAGGAATTGTCAATGAGATATAATAAAATATAAGTATAATCTGCTTCTAAACTCCTAGGCTTATATTTCAAGACAGTTCAAGCCTCAAAGATTTAAAAAATTTTTTTTGGTATGTGCCCCTAGCCGCTAGGGCCTAGCGGGAACTGAACCCAGGACTCTATGGTCCGCAGGCCGACGCTCCAACCCCTGAGCCAAACCGGCCAGGGCAAGCCTCAAAGATTCTTAAAGATCACCTTAAAGATCACCAGGGACCAGCAGCACATCCTTACTATGAACGAGGTAACAACTGAGTTCTGGTGACGGCGTGACATTGGTCAGTCTTCTCTCCTTGCCCACCCTCCTTCTACAAAGGCCAAGTCAGCCCTGCTAGCTTTGGAGAGCACAGGAGGGACTAAAACCCAGGGATCCAGTCCCCCGGCCCAGAGCTCCTTCCCCCACATCTGTGACCTACTGTTAAGTAATATTTCGACTTGCCCCAAACCCCCAAGAACTCCCCCACACAAGCCCATGACTTCCAAGATTTTATCTGTCCACATACATTAGAACCAGAACTAATCAAGGCTGGTTTCATTTGCATAGTCCAACTTGCACCATCAACAACATACCTTGGGCCTTGTGATCACTTCCACATTTTCAATAATTCGCCTGAATGAAGGTGGCATTTTGTTGAGAATTCTGTGCTGCAGAAATTCTTGTGCTTTATGAAACATCAAACCACCTCCCACCACCAGGATAGAGCTGTACATCTTCTTTTTGGTATCATCAGATGCTGCAAAGACAGTGATAGCTCTTCCATGCTTTCTCTCCATATCCACCACCACCCTAAGTCACCGCCATCTCTTGCTTGGATAACTGCAAGGGCCTTCTCAAGGACCTCTCCCCAACCCCTCAACAATGCAGCCACGTGAACCTTGTAAAACACAAATGTGCGCATGTTGCTGCTCCTGCCCTGCCACTCGCAACATGACCAAGATCTCTGACGGGGCCTAAGAAGTGCAGTGTGGTGTATACTCACGTCTCCAGCCTCATCCTCACTCTGTGTCCCAGCCACACTGGCCTCAGAGTCTTCCTCAGCCTGGAACCCATCTGTGTCTGGCTGACTGCCACTCACACCACCCAGATGTTTCTCAAGTGTCTTTTCCTCAAGGAAGCCTTCCTTCCCTGATTCCCACCCTCCACACCTTCCCCTCCTGAGCACAAACCCCTTCTAAGTCCCGCAATCAGAAGCTCTCAGTCAGTACTGGTTTAGTTCAACCTTGAGGCACCTGCCACAGCTGTAACTTTACATGTGTGATAACTTGCCTTCTTCTGGTCTCGTCCCAGGCCAGAAGCCAATTCCCAACACCCGACAATGCAAGCACAAGGCAGTGCTCAACTGTTTCTGGATGAGTCTGCTACGCAACACCGCACAACCATACCCTAGCTTGAACCAGTCCATCTGCTCGCACGCTCCCGGCCTCCCCACAGGTGCTTACAGCAGCAGTCGATGCTGTGAAGGATGGCTTTATCAAGGCCCAGGGCTTTCCCTTCAAACAGCGAGATGGCAGTCTTCCTGGACATCAGCGCGGTGAGGGCTTCCTCAGAGTCGTTGCCAGCCATCAGACAGTCTCCCTGGGAGGATCCCAAATCCACATCCTGGGAATGGAGTCTTTCTGGAAGGTCAGATGACTGCCCACGAAGATCCCCTTCAAATCCAATGGGTTTGGATGCAGACTTTCGGTCAGCGGTAGCTTTTGCAGACTTTAAATCAAAAGAAAGGACAATCAAGTAGATGGTATGACTACAACAGGACACTGTCGATGTTGTCCAGCTAGATCCCCCCGCTCCCCCTATAAACACTCTACTATAAACGAGGGCCTGTTGCTGTGGCGCAGAGGAAATACACCAGAGTACACAACCAACCAACTGGGAGTGAGAGGCAACGCACAGAAGCGGAAGCACACTGTGACAATGCTACAGCAGTCACTGTAGGCGGGGCCTGTCTCGAAACCTTACTATCACAGGTTGGAATTTAACATTTGAGATGTCGCCCTGGCCGGTTTGGCTCAGCGGTTAGAGTGTCGGCCTGCGGTCCCAAGAGACCCGGGTTCGGTTCTAGCTAAGGGCATGTACCTCGGCTGCAATTTGTCCCCGGCCCTGGTTGGTTGTGCGGGTGGCAGCCACTCGATGTGTCCCTTTCACATCGATGTTTCTCTCTTCCTCTCTCCCCCTCCCACTCTACCTGAACAAAAAATGGAAAAATGTCCTCAGGTGAGGATAAAAAAAAAAAAAAATTAGTTTAACATTTGAGATGTCAGCGTAGATGAAATTTCTCCCCTTGAACTGAGTTTTTAAGTGGATTATTTCAGTGGAATTCTTGGGCTAGTGACTGATAGGGAATCCTCATTTTCAGACCTTTTCTAACCGCCTTGTGCCACCTTTGGGACAGGAATGAAGACTCTGAAGGCTTATGGCCCTCTTCTCTCCACCACAAGCTGCTGTTTCATCAGCAGACAATAGCTTTAACAGGTGCCCCTGCATCAGGCATCCCAGTACTGGGATCAGCTTTGGACAAAAGAACTCAGCTCGTTGCTATGCCACACATCTCGGGTACATTATAATTAAATATAGGTGAGATTTTACCAAAAATATTCCCTATGAAAAAATATTCAAAAGTAACTCCATTAATTTAACTTTTAAATGTATGGACTGGTATTCTGAAAACTGGATGAATCCCTGCTGAACAACAACAAAAATCTGTCACCCAGATTTTAAATTCAGACTTCATTGCCATCTGGCAGCAGGCTAAAGCTGATGCTGTTTTTTTGAACTACAGATGAAATGAAGTCTGAATTTAAAATCTGGGTGACAGATTTTAAATTCAGACTTCATTTCATCTGTAGTTCAAAAAAACAGCATCAGCTTTAGCCTGCTGCCAGATGGCAATGACTACCGATGCGTTAATCACAGGCAAAAACTTCTCCTTCAGGGACAAAACTGCCTCCCCCACACCAGAATCACTGCAGACCTGCTCTTGCTTGCTCTGTGTGGCCAGCAGGTAGTGTTCATCATGAGGGTCCTCGGGGTCGCCCTGGGACCTGTGCTGCAGAGTAGTCATTTTTTGTCCAACAATTCCAAAGGTTGCTGGATAAAACAAAGCCATGGGAGCCTGTGCATGGAAGGAAAAGAATGATCAACCGAGGATACTGCCTCTTGAAAATAACCGACCCATTAAATTTTGTTCTCCAAAAAACAAAACTGGCAGATTCAATCCTAGAAGTTAGACTGTGTAGTGTTCTTTTTGGGGAGTAGCATTATTTCTCCAGTGCAGATAGGCAGAAAACTCACTTATTATCCAACTGAATGGGTGATATCACACCATAGAATCTCAACTCAAATGTAAAATGCCTTTTAATCTATTTTATAATTACCTAATAAGAATGGAGCCTCTCTCTCTAAATGACTGATCACATGTGGCTAATTAAAAAGATGGTCCTCAGATCTGTTCTAATTTGGCTTAGTGAATAATCTACAACCAGTTCACATTCTGACCTCATGGGGTTTCCAGCAACTGAATATTCTCTCGGTCTGATTGAGCCTGACTGGTCTTCTTTCTACCCATGAAAATATACACCCACGTTACCTGGAGTTTTTCATCTCCTAATCGAAACTGGTAAAGCAGGGCAGGGGAATCTGGGTGTCGAATCTGAAACTCATGGTCCTGAAGCCCAGAGATGTCCTGATTCCAGGAAAAGATGCTGTCAGTGAATCAGTAAAAGTGCATGTAAACGCCTCTAATCACAATGAAGCCTCCCTACCCTCTGAACCTCACCCAGAAAAAGGCTGTCCTACAACTTTCTACCACACCCACCAGCCTGTGATAAGAATTCAATGGCAATTTGATTTCCTTTTAACATCTGTGAAATTTCCACCATCTGCATTGTTTGTTTTCTTATCAATAGACACTAATACAATGACCCAAATCAATAAGCAAAGGCTCTCAATTGAGGAATATTACCTAGTTTTATATTTCTCAGGTTTTTTTATTTAGAATTATACTACTTGAAAAGGTGAAAAAAAAAATCCAGAATAGTATAGAAAGGTAGCAATCCATATACTGCAATGATTAAATGCCGATTTTTCACAATACTAAGAAAGTACTTCAAACGGTGCCATTCTAGTAAATGTCTGTACCTATATACTATCAGCCACTCATCACACCTGAAGATTTATCTTCATCCTTCACCAGAATGATCTCACAGCCCATATAGAGAGATATTTGCTAAACTGTCTTAAAAAAACAAGCTGTTTCCAGAGCCTGAGACATATCCACAGAGCTCTGACTTTACCAAAAAACTCTCACTCCTTAAGGGCTTCAGCTTCAAGACTTTATCTGATTACGTTGTAAGGGTAGCATGATACTATTAACTTTTTCCTGAAAACAAAAATGATCAATTTTGATTTTGCTCCCACCTGATCTAAATGACAGAAAGTTTCTTTCAGGTGCTGCAGAAGAAGGCAATCCATTTTGTTTGTTAACTGGCATTCTCGGTAGGGGAATCCAGCTCGCTGCATCAGCCAGTAAAAACATCTTGACACATCAGACCCTCCATATGCCAGACAGAGCCTAGAGTTAAGGGGAAGGGCAGATGGGTAATCTGTCAGTTAAGAAGGTGGAAAGGGTGAGTCAAAAACGCAATTAGGCCAGTAAAACAGCAAGTTTCCAGAAATGTTGCTTGTAGGAATAAATTAAAGAATGAAAGAACAGATGGATGAATGGGAGGGAGGGAGGGAACTCTAGAATAAACTAGTAGTACAGCACCTAGAAGCAGTCACGCTGTTTGCAAAAAGTATCCAAGAAACAGAAACAGACTATTAAATCCAGCCCACTTCCAAGTCAATACGTTTACCATTTGACAGTTGTTTGCCTATGTATATTCCCCAGCATATAAAGGTGACCACTGTAAGACAGACTTAAGGGAGAAATCTGCGAGGTGCTGTCCACTAACGGAACGTGTCAACCGTTAGGAAAGACCACTGCTACCTTACTTTAGTGGTTAGCGACCTGAAGCCAGTGTTCTCACCACACTTTGAGAACCACTGGCATCAGACAATGCAAACAGTGGGTGAGCCAAAATAACTCGCACTGGGTTTTAGAATGCACTGTAATGGGGTGGAGGCAACAGATTAACCTTTCTCATGGACTTCTTGGGACCTTTTGTATTTGTTTCTATACCCTGAAATTCAAACTACCGGGTATAAGGAACACGGATGAAGCTTTCTGAAGAAGCCACCCCGGGCACACCGCTGCAGAGCCCACGTGTGCACTACCTGGGTTGGGCTTGTCTCAGAAAGGACAAGTAGCAAATCTGCTTCTAATAGTTAACTTACTAACTCGCGCACCAGTGATGACACATGAAAGGAGCTGACTACCATAGAGGTACTCACTCAACACCATTTATGACAAGAAAAGCAAATACTCAAAATGGAGCTAGCTAGAGAACTCAAACCTGAAAACCTATCTTCTCCTACACAACTTGCCTACATCAAGCTTTGTTATGAGTGACTGGTATCTCTAGGCCAGACCACAGCAAAAGACAGCTAACCTACACGCTTCCTCTGTGGACGGCACACACCAGGACTTTCAGGAGCTGCTCCTGTAAAGTCAGTTATTTATAGACTTGCTAGAATTTGCACTTCCACAATCTTGCTGGTTTCCTATGTAAAATCTCAATACACAATTCTTTATAATGTCTTTCTGACTTGTGATGCTTTACAGTTGAACTTTGAGGGGAGAAGGATGGGGAATGTGGCACCTCCAAAGTCCCTCACCGAGTATTCCTATGAGAGACCCCATCCTCCACACAGCATACACTTGTCTTCTGGTCCCCAACATCTACAATACACGTGCTGCTTAAACCACTTCCAAAAGTGGCACACACAGACTCCTGATGGACCACAATCCCTAAAAAAACAAGTCAGAGAAGCAATCAGCTGGGGAGCAGAACTCTCCTAAGACAAATAATCAATTAAAGACTAGGAACCTCTGGGCAAATATTCAAGCATTGCTGACCCTCTCAAGCATTTCAATAAAGCAGTGAATTGGATTAACTTTGTCAGTACAAAAGAAAAAGATTCTCACTTCAAGTAAGCTTCGCTGGAATATAAGACATACCTGAAAAACCCATCTTCATCAGGATCATATTCACCAATTCTTTCACATGCTGTTTATTATAGATATCAGGAATTAACAAGATACATCTATAATACTAAGAACAACAAAGAGAAAAAGATTAAATGGTTAATACTAATGTCAGGTCAAAATAATTTCACCACACTTGCCTTCAAAGAGGATTCTCTCTAAAGCAATAGCAGCAATGGTTAGAGGCCCAGAATAAAAGCTCAAAACTTTCTACCTTTTGGGTTTTATAAAAATATAGAAAATGCTGACTTTTTCTTTTTCTTTGAATTATTGAACATTTGTGAAATGAAAAATAAGACAACTGATGTGTCTGAAAAGGTCCAGTGAGAACACACAAACATGAGCAAGCTTGCTGCCTGAGAGCAGGAGAGAAAGACACCAGAGAAACAAACAGAATAAGAGAGAAAGCGCTCAAGGACTCAGGGAATATATCACCACCCAGGGCCGACAATGCTTCGAGGACACTATCTTACAAACTCAGTAATGTGTACTTGGTTTTAATTTTTTTTCTTTATTGATTTTTAGAGAGGAAGGGAGAGAGATAGAAACATTGATGAGAGAGAACATCGATTGGCTGCCTCCTGCATGCCCCCCACCGGGGATCTGGCCCACAACCTGGGCATGTGCCCTGACCAGGAATCAAACCGGCGACCTCTTGGTGCATGGGTGGACACTCAACCGCTGAGCCATACCAGCTGGGCAGTAATGTGTACTTTTATTAACCAAGAATTTTAAAAACAATCCAAGTATCTGAACTCACCTTTAAATCTTTCAATGGAATTTCCAAGTATTTTTGTATTGCATGAGACCATATTACTTCAATATCTGCCAGAACAGCTGTAAGGGAGCCCCCAGGTCCTGAGTGAATATTTAACTGACCTCTTCTAATAGGCCAGTGAATATTGTAACAGTCCAATGGATTAACATACAAAGCCTAGAAAAAAGACAGGGATATGCACATGTTAAAACTCACGCTCAAAGTTCTAAGGCTAGAAATGATCATTAACACTTGCTGAATGTTCTAAATGTTGAGGGTGAGTATCTGATACTTCAGGAGCCAGTGGGACTCAAAGTCGTGTTATGGAACGCTAGGAAACTGTCACTGCATGGCAAAGTAAATGAATTTAGCATTAGGATCAGGTTTTTTTCTTCTTCCATATCATTGTAAAGAAATTCCCTACCTCTTCTCCTACCAAAAACTCAGGATGATGAGATGTATTTGTCCACTTATTTCCAGAACAGTGATCTAAAATCGCAGGTCTCATCTGCTTGTTGTAGGAGCGTGCCTGAAACGAAAGTGCATCACAGACTCTCTAAATATATGCAAGGGAAAAAAAAAGTGTGAATGTGGTATGAGTCCTCTTTTCTGCTCTCCCTCAGGGACCAGAGAGTAGCAAATTTTAATCACAAACCCAAGATACTTGGGAAAAATATTGATTAACAAAAGAATTCTCTTGCCCTTTTCCACAATCTAGATTTTTCCTGTGATTTTTAATACCTAGGCTGTGATTCACAGCCAGTACAAAGTTAATCGTGCACTTTATCTAAAGTTGAATACAAATTTACATATCATACTCACTCATAGCCACTCCTAATTGTATTGGTTTACTGTAAAATAACAAATGTGGTAAGAATACAGCTTCCTACCAAGGTCCTGGAATTATACACTTAGGATTCTCAGGTAAACTGTAAATGTTATCAATTTGTGGTATGAAATACCACCTTATAAATCATTTGGCTTGCTTAAGCATTTGTGACACTGATTCAGGTATTCCAGAGGTGGTTATGAATGTTTTTTCTTCCTTTTCAAAGAAAATCCCTTATTGCACTTGCATAATAAAATAAGTAGAGCACATGAATGGCATTATGATATAATAGCTGTACTAAAAGAATAAATCTGAAGAGTTGAGACCAAACCTGTTCAGGGGACACAGGAATCCGTCTTGTACCATTTGACATCTTTTTAGACCATATTGCTTGATCTACCATTTTAAGACCATTTTGTCTTTGTTCATTACTTTCAGGTTTCTGGGAAAAAAGAATAAAAGGTAAGCAGTACAAAGGACTTAGTGAAAAGGAAAGGCAATCTAGCGCAGTACTAATTTAATGCTGCAAGGGAAATGCTCCCTCGTCAACAGTATTTCCTTAGGTTCTGTCATATGTATTAATCTTAAAAATTCAAAGTCATCTTTTTAAAATATGTTTTTATTGATTTTTTTAGAGAGAAGGGAGAGAGAGATAGAAACATCCATCTAAGAGAGAAACATCGATAGGCTGTCTCTTGCACGCCCCCTACTGGGGATTGAGCTTGCAACCCAGCCACGTGCCCTGACCAGGAATCTAACCAGGACCATTCAGTCCATGGGACCATGCTCAATCCACTGAGCCATGCTGACCAGGCTATTTATAAAGTTTTAAAAGTCATAAAAGAACCCTCACTACAGACCAACTATTTGCAAAAATCTGTAACTTGGAGTGACTCTGGGTTGATAGCAAATTTCCCAGCACTCACTAAGCAGAGCACAGTTACTTTTACAAAGTATTTCAGAGACTCATTATTTATACCATTTTCATTTCTACAATTTTATAACAATATTATATTCCTTCATGTGTCATTTTGCTTAATCAAGTGTTCAAGTTATTGCGATACTGTGAAAAACAGAACCATAGATTTTTTTGTAAAAATGTCATTTTCTTTTCTTTCAATTTTTATTCTCTAAAGTTGAATTATAAGATTCAAAAATATAAGTGAATTTTAGATTTTTATATCATCAAATTATATGGACTTAAGCAAAGCCTGCTGATTATACTTAAAAAAAATGGAACCTTAAGGCTTACTATCAGAACTACAGAAACTTTAAGTCCCTAAAACTATCCTTGATTTAAAACTTAAAAGTAGATTACAACATAATATACACATTTAACACCTATCACAAACTTTTTCTGATAATTACCATTTGTAAAATAGGATAAAGTAAATGTTTGCTATAAGGAAATACATTTTGCCTTTAAATTATGATTTGACCTAAGACTGTAATAAGTGCTTAGTGTAGCAATTCAACTTGATTATGAATTAAAATGAATTTAAACTCTTCTAAGTATTTGGAATAGAAAATATAGAAGTCAGTTAATTGAGACCTGAATCTGTCATTTTAAGTAAGTGATAATTCTGTATCTTCCATTAAAGATCTCCTTCATCAATACTCAATTCATCCGGATGGGTTAACAAAAATATGGAATTTACTTCTGTTATAAGTATTTTTTTGCAATTTAAAATTGCTAGTCAGATGAAAAATGATATTTGTAACCTTGAATGATGCTATTATTTTTAAACACAAAGCTAAGATGTTTATTCAAGATTACTGTAAATACTTGAATGTCTAAACCTTCCCCAAGAAACAACCTTGGGCTTTCTCTCCAGGTCCTCCATTTCTGACTTACATTTAGTCCTTCCCTTAGGAGCCAGTTGTCCTTGTATAGGGGCTGCCCCTGTTGTTTGTGTCTTCGTGCAATGACATGAGGAATGCTGGCAGGAAGTGTGTCCGTGGCTCGACCAATCCTTAAAGTTGTTGAACCTGGATGTATGACGACAATGAAGTTGCTCTGGATTTGCTGCAAATGTAAAACATAGGAGTGTGACCTTAGTAATATGCAGGTAACAAGTTGAATAACATAGAGGTGTCAGTTAGTTTCCTATAATGGTCATCTGACTTAAAGGTATCAAAGTAATTCAATAAAAGGAGTTCTTTGAAAAACACCCAGTTACTGCTCTCTACTTGAACACAAACTCATTTTATAGTTTTGTGTTCTCAGGATCTAACTCACAGTACACAGCCCAACAAGCATTTGTTTAAATGAACAGAACCCTAATTATCCAATGCAAATTAATCTACTGAGCATTTCTGTGCCAGGCACACTGGGTACTATGGTGACCAAGACAAAGCCTCCCAAATCAGAGAACTTTCATTTACTAGGGAAGACAGTTCAACGAGGAATGAGAATGTGGGGAATACTATAGTGAAGTGCTGGGTCCCCTAAATCTGAATCACCTAAAAATGCTTGTTTAAAAAAAAAAAAATTGACCCTAAGTTTTCACTACAAATTTTGTGAATTAGAATCTCCATGGAGAAAGCCTAGGAATCCACAATTTTCAAAAGCTCCTGAGGTGATTAGTATGACACTCAGGTTTAAATCCACCGGCTGATCAGGTGACCGAAACAATATAAGGGTAGAATGACTATTTTGTAAAACTAGAAGTAAGGCTTTATACATCAACTACTTCCACAAGGGTGTACATAAACTGTGTTTTGGTTACTATGTTTCAAAACATTTTACCCTTGTGGATTTTGTGCTATTTACCTAATCTGGCAAGAGTCTGGGGTTGAAAAGCTGGAGTTCACAATTCTATCCTCCTAAGTCAGAAAACTTTGCTGCATTTCACAATCCATTCTTGAAAGATGATGAACAAGGACTGAAAAAGTGGTGCAAATCAGGAAGCAGATGAAGGTCAACTTTACTTTGAGATGACAACTGTTTTAGACCCAAAATTCTCAAGGGAGCAGAATATAATCTGAATCACCTGGGGAAACTTTACCATGAAAACCTGTTGAGGGACCCAGTTTCAGCAGGGAGGAAGGGAAGGAAAAACGGACTCCAACAATCCCTTTGACAACAGAATCCCTCTGTTAAGAACCACCACTCCAGCCTGACTCCTTAGGTAGCTTCTACTCAGCCCTGCTCTTGAAACTACAGTTGTGTCTTCTTGGCATGTTTCAATTGAAAACATTTCCATGCCTTGCCAATAAAGTCCAGACCTCCATGATGAAGACCCTGCCTACTTCTCTAGACTTACTGTAGAACCACTTCTTTTGGTCAGTACACCCCACATACCATTTCCTGGATATTACTGTTTAAGATGAGACAGAATTAATAGTATAGGTGCCACAGAGGACAAGAAAAACCAAAGGGTGTTAGTTACTCAACTGACGGCAGTTAAGGAAATGTTGCTATAGTGGTTAAGGGCCAGGTTCTGGATTCACAGACCTGCCTTCAAATTCAGACAGTGCCACTTCCTTGGTCAGGATGAAGTTCCTACCTCACAGAGTAACTGTTAACATTAAACAAGTTGATCACAATGTCCAGAGACTGGCGAGCTCTTCCAAAGTTCTCCACTGCCTTCAGAAGTGGCTAGCCAGACTCTGTCTTACATGACCTTCATGATATGGCCCCTGCTAAGATCTCCAGTCTCATCTCTTGCTCCCTCTTCTCCCTCAAGTCCAGACATCCTGATCTCCAACACTTCATATCCTCTTTGCCCAGGTCTCTCCCACACTATTTTCTTCCTCCCCAAGATTTCCCCTTCCCCCTAGCTAACACTTTCTTTTTTTATTTTAGAGAGAAAGGAAGAGAGAAACATCAATAAGATAGAACATCGACTGGCCGCCTCCTGCATGCCCCCCACTGGGGATTAAGCCCACAACCTGGGCTTGTGCCCTGAACAGGAATCAAACTGGTGATCTCTTGGTGCATGGGTCAACGCTCAACCACTGAGCCGCACTAGCCAGGCTCCCTAGCTAACTCTTAATCATCCTTCAAATCCTAGTCCAGGTATCAACTCCTTTATAGAAACTATTCCAGACCATCAGGGCTGGAGGAGGTACCTGCTGTGCTACCCAATATTTCAAGTCTTCTGCACTAGTCCCATCCCACACCATACTCTGACACCCCCAACAGTCAGTGCTCCTTCCTGCCTCCCCCCTCAGAGTGCGAGAATCCTATAAGGTGACGACCAGCAAGCCCTTACAGACCATCCAGTCTGCCCCCTCAACTAGGTAAGTGGAGAAACTGGGCTCTGTGCAACAGTAATAACAACCATCCTGAGGGCTTACCATGTGCCTGGCTCTGTGCTATGTATTTTACAGCTGCCTGGCCAGTTGGGCATTATCTTTCACATGCCTACCAGTAAGGAACCTAACTCAGAGATGTCCAGTAAGAAATTCTGAACGTTTAAATGTCTCCTGGTTCTGTTGTGAACCAGTACCTTTGCCTGTTTTCGTATGAGAATGCTAGTGTTTTCTTCACTGATCATTAGTAATAGTATATATATATAAAGGTCCTTTGCCTGCCATGTACTGCGAGTAATTGTTTTCTAGTATGACTTAATGTACACATGCACCCAATGTCTACTTAGATAAATGTCTACCTTTTCATTGCTTTTAAGCTTGAAATGACCTCCACCACCTGAATTTCTTTAACAAAGAAAAAGCCTGAACCTCTAACTATCCCTTACCACGTTCCCGCATATACTCCCCGTGAGCCAGGCCGGGTGCTAAAATCCATGTGCGACCACAGAAACTCCCACAACTCGGGAGGGAGGTGACAACCCGGTGCTCCTCCCGGGGCCGGGGAGCAGGGGTCGCACCGCGGCGGGTAGGGACGCACGCTGGGGCCACAGTTCTCGCCGGACGACCCAGTGCGCAACGACCCGGAGGGAACGAGCACCCTACAGCACCCACGGCCGTCGGCCCGCAGGCCCGAGCCTCCCGCGCCTCCCGCCCCAGCCCCGCAGCCGAGGTCGGAGCTAGGGTGCCGGCCCTCTCCGAGCCCCGCCCTCGCCCCTAACCTCCTGCAGCGACTCCGGCACCAGCGCGGGCACGATGGGCCGCTTCACGCCGCGCTGCTCCTTCTCCTTCTCCCCACCCTTCTCCTTCCCGTTCTCCACGTCCCCCTTCTCCGCCTGGGTCATCGCGGCAGGGGGCCCACGAGCCTCCGGCCTCCGCGCCGCGCCGCGCCCGCCGGAACAGAGCCGCAGCGCAGGCGCAGTGCCGGGCCGGCTGCCCACAGCCAAGATGGCCGCCGGAGAGCCGCGCCAGGGAACTCCGAGGAGCGGAAGGGCGGGGCTGTCCGCTGGGGGCGGGCTTCGGGGGGGCGGGGGGGTGTGGAGTCAATAAATAGAAGGGGCTGCGATTGGTCCTGGCCGTAGACTGCGCGCAACGTACGGTACTTGGTTTTGAGAGCTTACTGTGGACCGACCAGGCTTCTCCTGTGGTCCTCACCCTTGCCTCTCCCGGATCCCGACACCACACATGCGTTAGTTCTCAAATTTCACTGGTCCTGCTCAGTCCAGCTCCATGTTAGGGTTCTCTGGAGCTAGGTCTCCTCTCTATACACTTTTTGGATGACTTCATCCATTTTCATGGCTTTAAATATGAAAATAACTCCCAAATATGTATTTCCAGTGTGGACCTCTCCCTTAGATCCAGATTGACATAGTTGGCATCTCCTCTTGGATGCAGACCAGGCATTGCAAAATTAAATACCGTATGTCCAAAATGGAATTCTTGATCAAGCCTCCAAAAAACCTACTCCCGTCTTACCATCTCAGTAACTGTCACTTTGATACCATCCCCATTTCCTTATAAGTACTTAAATGGATATAAAAAGCTTTTCTCTCAACACTTTAGTTGCAAAGCCTGTTAAACACCAGAAGTAGAATTATCTGTATTATTCATTCTTCCAATAAATATTTCAGTGTCTATTACATGTTGTCACTGTTCAAAGAACAGTGGGGTAAAGACAACAAAATCTCTAACCTCACAGAGCTTCCATTCTGGTGAAAGAATGTGAGTTAGCAGCATTAAGATGGGGGTTAAAGACAAAACAACTGTTAAGAATTCAGGTTTGTCAAGATAACATGAAAGTTCACCCGAGGACCTTTTTTTTTTGCATTTATCTTAAGATAGAGCAGGAGGGAGGGAGGGAGACCGAGTGGTTACTACCCACCCCCCGCCCGGGGACAAACTGCAATATGTGCCCTTAGTGGGAACAGAACCCAGGACTCTCCTGTCCGCAGGCCAATGCTCTAACCGCTGAGCAAAACTGGCCAGGGTGAAAGTTCATATATTTAAGGACTACCCAGCAAGTCTTCATTTTGTAGCTCAGTTTTGTTGGTTATGGTTTTATAAATATCCTTATTATTATATATGGCAGCAAATCAAACACCTTGTATTAAGATTCATGGGACAAATGTCTCAAGATAAAAACTTAAAAACACAGATATTATAGACATACTACTGAAATAAATACAATGCGATTTATTTATAAATGAGAACAAATTAGCAATGAACATTTTCAGAAGTTGAAAAGGTGACACTAACAGTACTAAATACATAGCCTTTTAATTTTCTTCAAATTTGGAGTTTTAATTATATAAAGATGAGAAGTCAATTTTATAACCTAAAATATTTGCTTATTAAAACTGTATTAATACTTCCATAAACTATACAAAAGATAATGAGACAAACATGTGCATTTATAGAATTGCATGTCAGTCATGCCAGTTCCCTGCAAGGGAATTCCCAACACGACCTCATTCGTCTGTGAAGACACAGAGTAATTCTGGTTTAGACGTACACATTCATCTACTTTGCAGCATAGTCAGCCCTCCCCTGCTTGATGGTTTCCTTCTGCTGTGAATGTGCATGTCCAGTTGTCTGCTTCTTACAGCAGACATTTACCTAAAAGAAAACATTATAATAATTAGTTGCTAGTTATTAATTTGGATCTATATGAAAAATCCAACAATCATTACATGTTATAAACCTGTTTCAGAAGACATTTTGATAATAAAGCCAATGGATTTTTTTTTAAGGATTAGGAAATATTTTTCCAAATAATGTCTAAATAATTACAAAATGTTGGGCAACTTCTATTTTCCTAAAGACCTTCCTAAGGAGGCATTTGCAAAATAAAATTCCTAAAGAATAATTTCAAATTTTAAGTTACCTTCCTCATCCACCAGCCATTGGAGGAGGACTGGGACCACGCAGATGATTAATTCGACCCATTCTTCTGGGGGGATTTCCTGGGGGCCTAATAAAAGAAAAACTTAATTTCTACTGTTTAGTAGACAGCTTCAATTGGTTCCTTTTAAATACTCAAATAGACCCCTTTCTTTACTTAAAGTGCCAGTTAGGCCAAAAATTCAAACATTTATAGGGACCAGAAACATAAAGCACACGAGGAAAGTGAGTCAGACAAGGACTGTGATGAACTGAACACCACCTCCTATAAATGCCAAGCTCCAGCTACTTTTTGCCACATGGAAACACAAGCCTAATCACTGCTGCTTGATCTTGAGTTTTTCATTAGCAGCTGGAAATCTAGATTCTAAAGTGAAAACTCTAGATTTCGATGTTGATTCTGTTTTTATCCTCTAATTTAGGTATTTCCCATGGGACATATGACATACATTTTAGCTTTGCCAGGTTGATTCTGATTATCAAATCAGAGGTAACTTGACTTAATTTATAATAATGAATTAATTTTGTGAAATAGAATTTAAACCTTTAATTCCCGTGAGCCTGCCTATCTACCTAATCTGAGTAAAATATACAGGAGCGTAAAAACATCCATTATCAATTTTAAAAGCTATACCCTCTTCCATCATCATATCTGGAATCAGATGAGTTTCCGTAGCCTCTCTTCTTTTTCACATCTTGCTGAAGCAGAGTTCTGAAACTGAAACAGGAGGCAGAAAACAACAGAAGAACCACTTTTAACAGTATAAAATGCATTTCACGGTTTCGATTATCATCTCGGTGAGAGGACAGCTGAACTGATTGAGCTCCAAGCCCACATTTCTCGAAGCCATCATGACAACACCATCTAACGCAAGCGTGTGTCTAAACAGAGTGTGCTATGTTCGGTGCCACAGCGCCCTTCCTTATCTTTATTTCTGATAACTCTCCTACACAATCATGCCAACTTTCTTCCTCAACTCTACCTCAGCTGTCAGGTCTCAGAGTCTGTTTTTACAGTATTGTACATTCACTGCTCTTGTATTTCCCCTACCAACAGCCTACCTAACCTTACCTTGAAGAGGGAGGTGCTGAGGGTGGTATGCCAGGGGCACAGACCTTCTGGGAATCCATTGAAATGAAATTTTATTTGTGAATTTAACTAAGTTAAATCAGTATTTTTAATAAACAATACAAGTAGATAACATCTGTAAAACTATAAAGTTTTGTACTGGGTAACTTAACTTCGAGCTTCTCTTATTCCTGTTGTGTTTTTCTATGCATCTGTCTCTTCCATTTTACCCTTTCTAATTTATGCTACATGCAGCCATCAGATGAATATTCCTAAACCACAGCAATAATCAAATTAAGTACAAAGATCACAGTCTGATATTCAAACTTCTCTGCCACCTTTCCTGTGTTTCTTTCACCTGGAATAACTTCCTCTGATGTCCACACCTCCCACAGTCATGCCCACCCATTACCCCTTATAATATAAAGATATTTACTGATATTAAAGTCAATGAAAAGACTATCTCTTACATCTCTGCATCCCTATAGTTCTCTACCCATAAGAAACTCAAATATATATTCAAACTTAGGATAAGTAAGACTTATTAGTAGTTAATGAACAATTTTCATAAAATATACAGCAAGCGAAAGACATAAAAACTGCATTTAACTAAGAATTGCTTGAGCCCTGGCTGGTTTGGCTCAGCGGTTAGAGCGTCAGCCCATGGACCAATGAGTCTCGTGTTCAATTCCAGTCAAGGGCACGTACCTCGGTTGTGGGGTCGTACGGGAGGCAACCAGTCGATGTGTCTCTCTCACGTCAATGTTTCTCTTTCTCCCTCCTTTTCACTCTATCTGATGATAAAAAAAAAATCCTCAAGTGAGGATTAAAAAAAAAATTGCTTGAAATTATGGCGAAGTTTAAATCTGTCTTCTCTGTATTGATCCTAACCCTTTATTAAAAAAAAAACAAAAACTATAATATTGAATAAAATTTGCACATACGCTCTAAAGCTGGGAATAGCAGACAGAGAGTGAGGCGCTGTCATTAGGCATTAGAATGGGCAGGCCTGGCTCCAAAGCTGCAGGTTGATATGATTACCACCAAGACTAAGATACGGTCATGCTTTCCAACTCAATGATCACATTTAGAATCATAAGATGTCTGGTGGCAGCTTTACCACTACACAAGTCTTCGTTTCCCTTAGTAAAGCTATTAATTTAAAAAAATTAAAATTAAAAACTGCTTCAGGAAAGCTGAGCTTGTTTAAGATATGCAACATAATGTACCCAGTATATTTCTCACAACTTAAGTATCAGGGCTATTAAGAGCACTACTATACTTACAACAAAACCACGAACTCGGCTATTCCCCAGAAGAAATCTGTTATCAAAGATAATCTCCACGGGGACTGACTCCGGCTGTCCAACACTTGTCCTACAGACAAGAATAAAGAAAACTTAGTACTACAAATTCCTGACACAAAATGCCTTACATTTAATAATTTAGGTAACAATCAAAGATTCAGTTTTCAACTTGTCTGTCCATTGTTCCAAATAGTCAACAAAAAGGAGAGGTCGGCTATGTGCACACCATTCTAAGGAAGGGTTCAGGGAAGTAAAACTCTGTGATCTAGGGGTCATTGCTTTGCTATGTCAAATGCTTTCCTATAAGTTTGTAATTCGGGGGGGTGTTCATTCAAATATTTTCTCTCTCTCTCTTTTTTTTTTACTGTGGTAAAATACACACTCCAAAATCTACCATTTTGAAATGTACAGTTCTATGGCATTAGGTACATTCACACTGCTAGACAACCATCATCACCATCCATCTTCAGAACTTTTCATCCTCCCAAACCGAAACTTTGTACCCATTAAACACTAACTCCCCACTTTTCCCTTCCCCCAGCCACCTGTGACCCATCCTTCAACTTTCTGTCTCTGATTTTGACTGCTCTAGGAAGCTCATATAAGGACTCACACAATATTTGTACTTTGGTAACTAGCTATTTCACTTAGCACAATGTCTTCTAGGTTCACCCATGTTGTAGCATATGTCAAATTTTCCTGCTTTTTTTTCGAGGCTGATTAATATTCTACTGCACGTGTATACTACATTTTGTTGATCTATTCACCTGTGGATGGACACTTGGGTTGCAATTGTGAAAATGATGCTATGAACATAGATGTACAAATATTTTTATTCAAGTACTTTGAAGAAACCAACAGATAACTATAAAAGAATGCTCACCTCACTTCCATTCTCCTAAATGTGTTCCAAGTACTTCCTTTCACTTGCAAAGCCTCTTGCGTATACAAAAAGACTGTTTATAAATATTCTCACAGGTCTTTAGAATCAGTTACTATGATAAAATATTTAGAAATCAAAGAATCTGTGTGCTCTAAGTACTAAAGAGAATTTGGCTTACTCATGAAAATGACCACTATTTTTCTGTAAAAGGCTGTTCATTCTAATTATAGACTTCAGCTTATCTTAAGCAAAAGGGGATCTATTTTTCAAACCACTTTAAATGATAAAAGCTACAACCTGAAAAGTTAGTACTCTAGTTTCAGCCTTGCAAATCAAGAGGTCAGAATATTTTGGAAGAAGAGCTGATCTGTCAACTACCTCTCCTCTCCATTTCCCAAGGACTCCTCCACGCTTTTTACTTTTCCTCTTTCCTCGCCCAGTCTACTTTCAGGTACATCTAATACAGAGAGCTATTAAGAAAAAAGGGCCACACTTAGAGTCAGAGCACGGGTGACAGGTCCTGCCTCTTACTAGCTCTGCTTCGTTGGTGGATATGATATTTTCCTTCTCTGAGAAAAAGTATTCCAGGGCTAATCATATGGAATTGTTTGGGGAAAGTAACTTGAGAGTAAGAGAAATGTTCTGCCAACCATGAAGTGCTGATAAATACAGCCCTTCTAAGAAAATGGATCTAACTGGAACCCATGAATTCTTCCTGTGTGACTGTAAGGAACCTATTGCTGGCACTTGCATCATTCTTGCTTTTTGCATTTTCCCTTAGTTTCTGAAGGCAGAAACCTCTCCTCCCAACATCCTTAGAGAGAAATAAGTTGCTTGCATGCAATTCGCATTTCTCAACTATAAAAGTGAAATAAAAAACCTTTATGTTATTTATGTGGATCAAATACGATTGATGATGCAGGCACAATAAGACAGTACAAACACGAAGCTGCCAGCCTTAACCACAAAGGATAAAACAGCAAGTTTGCAAGTGCCAAAACGAAGATAAAACTTTGATGTTTGCATGTGTCTATCAACCTACCTGTTTCAAAAGAGTTTTATGTGGGAGACAAGGAGTGTGAGATTTTTAAGAGCAAAGAAATGCCAGGTGCGCCCAGCCAAAAGCCTTCTCACCGACTATCTTAATGACCCCTGAAGACAAACAGCGCATTCAAATACAACCAGCACCTAGTTCCAGTCGTCCATGCGTCAAACAGGTGGCCAGTGCTGGCACTGTTCTGACCCAGTCGTTTTCCTTGTGGAGTCACTGAATTTAAGGCTCTCTCAGAGTCTCTATTCCAGGAATAATTAACTTGCTCTAGTCTAGAGGGGTGATGCTTCCTTCTGTGCCCCTTGAAATCAGAGCAAAAAAGGCATGGATGACTAGCTACCCTCTCCTGGGGGCGGTGGGGGGAAGCCCACCCGAAATTTCCATCTGACTGTCTTCGCTCCAAGTTCCAGAAAGGACACGCGCTTGGTAACAGCAACAAGGCTGACGTCAGCCAACGTCGCCTGGGTCCGGACCGAGCCACCAAGTCCCCGTGTCACCCTGCACTCTCTGTGATCGATCTGGCCTCGATCCCCAGCCGTGAAGCTGGGGAGTGAGACATCACCTTACCAGGCCGGTTAGAAAGACTGGACGAGTTCGTAAGCGAATAACGCGACAGCAGTGCCCGAGGCACAAGCGCTGCGCAGATGGAGTTGATGTCGTCGTCGTCGTTACTGCTGACGAAGGACGCAGACGCCCCAGACTGAAGTCCACTTTCGCGAACCCACAACCAGACGCTCGAGAGGACGCCCGCCTGGGCCACCACGGACCCTGGGCCCTTGCCCACCGGCGCAGGGACGACCGGTGACGCGCCGAGGCCCCGGCGACCTCGCCTCCCGCCCCGCCCGGCTGTGCCGAGTCCGGGAGGCCGGGGCGGGCGCGGGCAGGAGCCCGGAGCCCGGAGCCCGGACCCCGCCGGCCAGCGGCCCCGTGACGGTCCCCCCGACTCACCATTCGCGATGTAAACCATCTTGCTCCTCGTCCCCCGCCGCCCGAGCGGCCCGACCCTCTCGCCTTCCGTAGCTCCGTCCGCGCCCCGCCCTAACGTCACAGACAACAGGTGACGCGGAGGGAGGTGGACAGAGCCCATTGGCTGGGGGGACACGCCCCCGGCGGCGTTTCTGCTGCGTCACCCCGGCGACTTCCGGCGAAGGGAGGCTGCGGGACGGGTGCTCCAGCTGCGTTGGTTCGTCCTGCAAGCGGGTTTCGGTCTCCGGGCGTGGAGTCCCGCGTGGCCGGTGGGAAGAAGCTGCTCGCGGCTCCGAGGCCCAGGGCCGGGGAGCGCCTGGGGTTGTCCTGCTGCTGTTTGAGCGTGGGGTGGCGACCAGGCTGCGAGGAGCCTTTGGGAAGACACAGACAGGCACCCAGGAGATGTCTTGATCCCGCTTGGAGAGGAAAAGGGGCCACATCCTGAACCTGACGAGCTCCTGGGGCCTGCGTGGGGGCCTTCTGGATGAAGACCCAAAGTAACCCATGTGGTCTGAAATTAACACCGGCGAAAAGCAAGTCGTGGTGGGTAGTGATGGCCCAGGCCGGTATCTTTCCTGACAAAGGTCCCTTTAACGAGCCTGTGTCTTTGCCCCTACCTCACCACACCTTTGTAATGTGGGGGTAACCCGCCTTTCTCCAGCCCCTCAGGGCACACAGCCTGACCCCCAGCTGACCACAGTACCCCTCCGTGTTATCTTGTTCCCGCATACCACCTCTGTGCTGTAAATGTTAGCTGTCCTGTACACACCCATGTAAAAGAAGTACGTGTCTCTTCATTTACTTTTTATCCAAACTGTTGTAACCTAGGAGAATCAACCTCACTCGGACACAAAGTAATTTTTAATATTAGGAGCTTTATTACCTGCGCAGGGACTGCAGCCTCTCTGAGAACTGCAGCCCCAAGCTCAGGGGGAGGGTTGCTTATATAGGACAGGGGTTATTCAAGAGTTTAGCAGAGCAAGCAAGGTACTGTACAAAAGCGGAGGCAGCAGGAGGGAACAGAGGTGGAAGGGAGCTGAGGCAGAAGGGAACTGGGTGAACTGGGTCAGCACACATCTATCCTGCTATTTATTATATTATCTAAGTTCTAAAAACTAACAAATTCGCTTAGAGGACACATTCATTTAGAGGAGTATCAGGCCAACTTCCTCAGGTTGCCTCTGAAAGCTTCATAGTTGGCCTTTTGTTTATTTAATCAGAACAAAGTGATAGGAGCAGTTTACTACACAAACCTAAAGATTACCACTCCCTTTTGCTGTCTCCCACTCCCTTAATCTACCACCAATGGATTTTGTGTACCCTCCCCCATGTTTTTTCCTTTGATTCTAATGTATAAAACAAACAATAAAACTCGTTCTCCAGACCATTTTTGCAGTCTATTGAAATTTTGCATCTTGGCAATTGTCATCAGTTTGGCTTAAACTTGTAAATTCTCTACAGGTTTGGACGTTGCTTATGTTGACACATTTTAAACCAGTGTTTCTGCTCTTGGTTCACCAGAAGCGATTGGCATTTTTTGTCCATTCTTTTGAGGCAACTGAAACATACTGTTGACCTTTGCTTGTTCCTTAGTGATGGCTACTGCATGTGGGCATTGCAGAGGTGATGAGTAAGAAGCTATCTCTTGGTCATTCATAAAATAGGGACCATGGACTATGTGCTGATGTGTGTTTACTCTGCACCATTCACTGGTTGCTTTCTGTTCCCTGAACAGGGCAAGCTTCTTTCTATCTCAAGGCCTTTGTACTTGGCTGTTCTTTCTGTATGGGGTCCTAATGGCTGCTTTCGTTCTTTCTCCGCCCCCCCCCCCCCCCCAGTTCTCATCATATCTCATCTCGGAAAGTTTCCTAAATCACCTTAACTAAAATAAAAATTACATTTTGGAAATAATTCTATTTTGCATTTAACAGTGTTAGGAAGAGGAAGGGAACTTCTGAGTACTGGGGATTTAATTTCCTAATGAACTACCTCTAGCCTCTCTCACTCCCTTTCATGCTGTCTTTAGCTGCTGGTTTACCCCATCTTGCCTGTTTCCTGCTTACAACCTTTGTTTCTCCCCACTGACAGATAAGGCCCAGCCTCCCTGGTCTGGAGACTGTTGAAGGATTTTGATACATTTTCTTAGGTATATCTCCCTGACTTCTAATTT